TGAGCAGAACACTGAGAACACACTGTGGTGTCTCATAGCAACGCGGTGCAAATGATTTATGACTGGATCATTTATTAATTGCTGTTAAAGCATAAACAGTTAGAATGCTTTAGTAAGTTTTGCTTTAACTTTAATAAAATGATCCTGTGAGGATAATAAGTTAATTTGAAGCAGACTCAGTGTCAGGGTTGGGGAAAAATAGGACCCAAATGCAGTAAAAGGACTAAAAGGTCAGGTAACAAAAAGCGAGCTTTATTTCCCAAAGCTGAATGACAAAAGAAAACGAGGAACAACTTAACATACCAAAACCAGGGGAGTACGAGGAAGGATCAGGACAAAAAACCTCAGGAACAAACATGGAGCGTGACAGGTAGCATGGACAAGAGCAAAGAGACTAACAGGTATCATAGACGAGAAACGACGACGAACAGACATGGAGCACAGGGGAAGACAAGACAATGCGAAAAAAGCACTGAAATCTCCCTTTTTTGTATTTTCACAAATAGAATTAAGGTTTCACAAATCTGAAACTGTGTTATAAAGAATCTTTAGACTCTCTGGGATAATCCAGTCCAGATTTGATGAGTCTAGGTATAGTGGTTTTAGATCAGGACCTGGTCTCAGGGCCGGCCCTAGGCACTGGTGAACTAGCCGGTCGCCTAGGACGCCAGATCTGGAGGGGCGCTGCGCTGGGAGAAAAACAATTATAATAAAAAAAAAAAATAATTAATCAATTTAAAATGTTTATTCTGCCTAATTTTCTGCCCTTGATGTAATACATTTACATTAATAATTGAATAAAGTAAACACCCTTTGCACCCCGGGCCAGCAACATTTGCAGAAACGTATAAATATACCTTATATAGGTATGGCCCTACAATATATAATTTAAATATAGCATGATAGGTCCACTTTAACTAGGTAAAATAAGATATGAATGAACAACAAAAAATAAAATACGTTACATTTATTTGTTATTGGCTATGGGTTATTGGTTATGTTCACATACTTATTTGGTTATTAAAATGTAAACCACTCTTTTTCATATGGGTGTTTTAGAGTTGTACCCCCTAGATCTAGTCTCTAGTAATTCTGCTCAAAGTGCACCAGATTGAAGCATTTTACTTTAAAATGGTCCGGGGGGGCATACCCCCAGACCCCCCTAGAGGATGTGACGTCCACCCGCCAATTAAAAGATGTTCATACAATAATGAATACATTTGAAACCTTTTTGATGTATATAACCAACATGTCAATACGTTTCAGTTTTTGTAGTGAAGCCTATTGGTCTTTTGTAGAGATTTTTCATTTATTCTATTCTATTGTGTATTGCTTGGAGAGGCGGGGGGGGCACCAAATCATAATCTCGCCTAGGGCACCAAAATGTCTAGGGCCGGCCCTGCCTGGTTTTATGTGGTCTAGATGCGAAAAAAGCTGCGAAATCTCCCTTTTTTGTATTTTCACAAATAGAATAAAGGTTTCACAAATCTAAAACTGTGTTATAAAGAATGTTTAGACTCTCTGGGATCATCTAGTCCAAATAAATCGGCTATGCAGCGATTAAAGCGCGTGTCACACCGAAATTGACACCAGATGGACACATGATAAAGGAAATGTTCAAATTCGGCTCTGATCGTAACAACATCGGGCCATTTGTGAGCCAAGCAACAGCCGAAGCAAGTACGATGCCTACAGAAGGCCACACGATGGCACCGGAACGGGCCGAACCACACACGAAAGTATGGTCGTAGACTTTACTGATGATTTAGAATGTATCCAGACTCAACGTAAGAGCTTGTGCCTCTTCGGGGGGTGCTAACATTTAAACATACACTTTATTCTTTACTTTTCCGTCTTTATATGTAGAAGATATGACTTATCTCCATCATGTTGTTTCCATAGCAACAACAACTTCCTGTCAACAGCGTAAACTCGCCTTCAAAATAAAAGCATCTAAATAGGAAGTTAACCTAAATTACATTTAAGACATACAACCAGTGGCGTAGCTGTGGGTGGGCCCGGGTGTGCCTGGGCCCACCCACATGCACGTCTGGCCCACCCACATGCACGTCTGGCCCACCCACAGCCTCATAGAGATTTTGACGTTGCTGACGAGCGGCAAACTCTGGGCCAGAGCCGGGAAGCCCAGAAGGAAGTGCCACAAACTGCAGTTCATCAAGTGGCCGACAGGGGATGGATGCAGAAAGGAGCAATCCCCATAGACCCCCATGTTAAAATGCCCAACTTCACAGCAGATATAAACATGTTTCTAGCCTGGATCCAATAAAACTTATTCTGGATATAGTTAGATTCCACCTTCATGACAATGGAATAGGGAGTGCATTTTTTTACCGTGAGTAAATTAGTAAGTAAAGTAACTTTTGCCGTGAGTGAATGAAAGTCTTATTTCTTCTCGAGGTCTGCAGTGAAGCGTGTATACATGTGCTGAATATGAAAAGACTCTCAGTGTGTGCCCACTGTGCGACTGTCAAGGATAAACAACCTGTGGCCGCCGAGCCAGTCATGTGGATGTCAGTTTTACATTCTGAGGCCACCGTGCCTATTTTTTTGTTTTCACTGCTAGTTTATGCTTAGGTTTAATTAGTGCATTAAAAAATAAATAAAATCATTAATGAAATTTCAGCTCAGACCCCACGCTTAATAAGTCTCCCCCTGGCCCACCTACATTTCTCTAGGCCCACCCACACAATAATTCCTGGCTACGCCACTGCATACAACTGCAACGAAAGTAACAACAACAATGTAATATCCTTTTCAGTTTCACACAACACAAATTGGGTTATTTACATAATATGTTTACATGATTTTGTTGTGCACCAGAGAAGCGATCTGCAAGGAAACATCGCACACCATGTCCTCATGCTCCTGTTTCACCTGCTTAATATAGGTATCATCACTGCTACTGATTTCTATAGAGCATTTGTGATTAATTGTGATTGAAGCTTTGGGAGTTACACACGCCTCTGCTCTGTAGAGTTGCTCAGGAAAAAAATGCCCGATGGCACAGATGATCACATGAAGATGACACGATTTGACAAGATGCCCTCACGAGTGTCTTACGAAGGGCAAAATTACACACAAGGCAATTTTTTGGCATGCCAAAGATGTTGCCACCGCTCGTGAAGTTGCTGCTGGAGCCTGAGAAATTCCACCGGCGGTCATACGATGGCTTAAGATGCCCTAACGAATGGCCCGATGTTGTTATGATCAGAGCCGAATTTGAACATTTCCTTTATCGTGTGTCCATCTGGTGTCAATTTCGGGACAGTGTGACGCGTGCTTTAAGAGGTACAAACACGGAGGATTGTTCACTCAGCGCTGTAAAGTAAATGTCCCTTAACCTTTCCCCTTAACTGGGCTGAGAGATCGCCGTGACTTCTGTAAATATTAGTCTTGGCAAATATGGAGAGGTTGTTTATCTTCATACGGACCTATCGTTACCCTGATTTTAAGATCTGTCCAGTGTTTCAGCTTTATTCGGACCTCACTAGTTAACTAGTGCACATGTTGAGCCTCAATACTCAGCTTGTAAGGCCAAAAGAGCCTTAAACTAGTTAACTAGTGAACATTTTGCCTTCACTAGTTAACGTGTAAGCTGCAATATGTATCCACTAGTTAACTAGTTGCCGTTCATATGGCCAACACGTTCACTAGTCAGCCATATGCAAATGAAGCAGGCGGGACCCAGATTCTGATTGGTCAGTTCAGCTCTGTGAGGGAGAGCCTTAGGGGGCGTTCTCCTGCAACGTTTTTAGCAACGTCTCGAAGACGTGAGGTGCATCAGTCGGGTATTTAGTGCCTACTGTTGACATATTGTCCGTGGGAAGTCAGTCAGTGTGTGTTTTGCCTAGAAAAATACATGTTTCTGTTTCTGCTTTGTTCCGCTGTGAGTGTGTTTTTGTTGGTGCGAGTGTGCGTATGCTTGTGTGTGAGAACACCGGCACTCGAGACACAAAAGTATATGATCGTGGGACATTTGATAAGCGGTGCTCATGAAATGAATAAAGCTGAAACACTGGACAGATCTTAAAATCAGGGAAACGATAGATCCTATGAAGATAAACAACCTCTCCATATGTGCCTTAGACTAATATTTACGGAAGTAAATATGGTCATATGACTGTATTTTAAAACACAGTGTATTTAAGCTCTTAAAGAAAGTATTTGGGCTGGGTGGCGCTCTATAGCTTAGGGCCAATAGGAGACCTCGATGCATTCTTTCCCCTCCTCCTCATTAGCATTCTGTGCAACTAGTGTGACTAGTGCGCATTTAGGATCCTCTAGTACTACTAGTGAACATTTTAAGCCTCACTAGTTCACTAGTGGAATTTAAATGTATCTCACTAGTTAACTATTAAAGGGCAAAGGGTTCACTAGTTAACGTGTAGACATTTTGAGCCCCACTAGTTAACTAGTAAGGTCAAAAGAGGTGTCAACTAGTTAACTAGTGAACCTTTTGCCTTTACTAGTTAACTACTGAGTGATTATGGGTGCTACTAGTTAACTAGTGCAGACAAATGTATGCCACTAGTTAACTCTGCTTCTTTTTTGTAACTAGTTAACATGTCAGAGCTTTTGCAGCGCACTAGTTAACTTGTAAGACTTTTAGTGTCACTAGTACGGTCAGAGGGCCACTAGTTCATCAACAAGCTTACAAGTTTGTACTTTGGTGCTACTAGTGGTGCTCCTGGCGTCACTAGTAAGGCTTATGTGCTAACTAGTCGGATAAAAGTGTCACTAGTTGTTGAAAAAGAGTGACTAGTGTAATGTTTTATTGAACTAGTAAAGCAGAGTGCCAAACTAGTGTGACCATATATCTAACAAGTGCAATCAAAGAGCCAACTAGTGTAGGCAGCTGCCGTGTGATATCAAGGATATAGAATAAATACTCAAATGGCTTGCCATATACGGCCGCTCTGTTACTGTTTCAGTCAGTCATCATTTAATCTCTCTCTCTCACTCTGTTTATTTTGCTGCAGGTTTACCGCCACTCCTACATGGCCTCCTACAGTATCTACAACATTCACACACGGTGAGTGTTTGTGTCCTGCAGCAGCTGTGAGGCAGCCGGTGCTACAAACAAAAGTGGAAGAAGTACTCAGAGCCTCTAGTCTAGATGCTTAAAGGTCCCATGGCCATTTCTACTGATCATAATTCCATTGTTGAGGTCTACTAGAATAGATTTATATTGTTCAATGTTCCAAACTCACATTGGTTTCTCATACAGCATCTCTGTATAGTATGTGTATTCACTCTCTGTCCTAAACGGCTTGTTGGAGCTCCTGCCCCCCCCTCCCTATGAGCCCACTGTGCTCTGATGTGTGTTTATGTGTTACAATGGCGTTTGTTAGCAACCAGAAAAGGACACTAGTAATGACCAACCCAGTCTCACGGCATTTCGTGTTATAGTCACGACATTTAATCTATTGATTCGTGTTCACCAACACGATTTTCCCCTTTTTTTCGTGTCACACAGAACGATTTTAAAATGTATTTCTATTGGTAGTATGTTTCGTGCCTGCACCACGTCTTTTTGTCCAGTCGGGTCTTGGAAGACCGGAAGCTGTGGGGTTCATAAAAACATGTTCTTACTCAATATCAAGCCACGATTATTATTTTTATTTTAAATCGTATAATGTCGGACTTTAGAAATGGGGCTCAGAATACTGAAATCTGTATTTTTAAAATCTTTTTTTCCTTCTAATTTGTTATTCTTTTCTAAATAACACACTGTGTGTCGTTTGCTGTGAAGCGCTTCGAGATTTGTCTTGGCAGATTAAAAGCGCTATATACATTTATTATTATTATTATTACTGTTATTTACTCAACAATAACACACAATTATCCTTGTTTTTATTTATTTGTTTAATTCTATAATCTCTGGCTTTTTTGCCATCCGTCAGGAAGTGAATTTCAAAATAAAGTAACAGGAAACAGACGTAGGCCTATATGGGACATTTCGAGCATCATTGCGATACACAGCCACTGAACTGATTAAAAGTTGTTATATTTGCCCCTGAAATGAAATGGATTCTAAAGTAGCATGAAGTAGCATGTCTAAATAGAAAGTAAGTTACTTGATACATTGACTTTGTGACTTTCCACCACTGAGTGTAAAACTACATCAGGGAGAAAGGTTTCTGTGAGCCATGGGCAAACCCATACAGCACAGATACTTCAGTAAGGACTGAGTGCAATACAAGTATTATCTTTACGTGTTTTCATATTGTGACATGCATAAAGGACATGTTTTCACACTTGGTCTCATCTCAGACCAAAGCTGCAGCAGCTTGCAATTACAATGTCTATATTGTTCCCAGCCCATTCAATGACCATTATCTGTTGTAATCAGTATAATTCTTTATGCCGAGCAGACTGCACCTACTCACATGTTGAACAGTTGCAGCTGAAACATATGGGGAATGTTAGGATTAGAAGAAAAAAAAATGTAGTTAGGTTTTGGAATAGATCTTGCTTTTGGTTAAATCAGTACTTTTAGATTAGATAAGAATACATGTACTTTATTATTCAAATGTAGGAAATTGTTTTCTCAAAGCAGCATTTAAACAAGACATTGCACATAAGTTAAAGATAATAAAAAAGATAATAAATATAAAAAGTTATCAAATATTGGGATACTATCTAACTTATGTGTTATAGACATCACTGTTTGAAAACGTCTGCTATAAAAAAATGTCCTAGATCCGAGCCATCATGGAGATCAATTTTGGAGATGAAGTTGGCTCACTTAAAGTTTATTCATTGCATTTTGGTTTCCTGCAATGCACGCGGAATAGTGACTGCAGGGTTCTGGTGAGCGGAACACTTCAGTTGTGTAAATCTAAAGACCATATTCCAGCTGTGAAGGCTGACTTTGGTGCATAGCGTAAAAAAGTGTTAACCAATCAGAGGGTCAATGGTTCGAAGACACTAAACACCAAATTGCCCCCTGTAGGCATGGCTGTTGTCTTGAAGTTAGAAAAAAAGGATCAGCTAAATAACATGTAATGTAATGCAAGATCCACCTCTTTTCCAACTTAGCTTGGACCACGCACATCTTCATCTTGATCTCTACAAGTGTGGTTACTGCATGCTGCATGGTTGAGAAGATAACAAAATTGAACCTGTAAAGCATATAATCTGCACATGAACAAAATAAAAATACTAAAATATCAAAATATAGATAAAAGTGAAATATGAAAAAATATATTAATTCAAAAGAATTGCTAAACTGAATAAAATGCTTATACAATTTATTTTTTATATGAACACATCATTGTACTTTTCAAAGTTCAGGATCAAAACTTGAACTTTCAGATACATTCCATTTTTTCGAATGATCACAACGTTTGGCCCTGCTTCATCTCCGTAGAGAGGCTGAGGCTGAGGCTAAATCTGTCCATAAACACTTTTAGACAAAAAATGAGTGTATCCTCAGTTTGATGGAGTATGCTCATTATCAGTAGATCAGCTGACATTTTGTAGCCTCCTGCTGCTTTACAGGGGGGGTCTTTAGAGGTCTTTAGAATATCAAGGTGTCCCACTCTCTGTCCAAAGGGCTGATCCCACTCATGATGCAGATCCTTCCCGCTCAGTGACGGGCAGGTTTCCTGCTGATCATGGGAGATCATTCAAACTTGATTACACTGTTGGGATTTCACTTTTTCAACCAAAGTGTGATTCTGGGAAACTTTGTGATACATTCCTCAGATAATATGCCATTTCGGGTCTCCACTCTGGTATGTTTGATTTATCCTGGTCATCTCTGTGATCAGGCTGCCAGCTGGAGCTCATTTCAACCCTGCCTCACTGTTATGATGGACCAAGAGAGTGTGTTACGACACAGGGAAATCTGCCACAGGGTTTCAACAGCATGGCTTTGCCCCTCAATATATACTAAATGATCTCCCCTATTTCATTTTGAGATAACATTTGTATATTACAGCCCATAGGATATGTTTTAAAGCTCCAAGTACTTTTCGATCAATGATTAATTCAACAAATATTTTCTTGATTGATAGTTTGGTCTATAAAACATAACAAAAACTGTATAAAGAAATGTAATAAGCACAACGTCCAAGAGATTAGATTAGTGTAGATTGTATACACTTTATTGATCCCATATTGGGAAATTGTTTAGCACAGTAGCATGTTAAAAAGCCAAGGCATTTCACATGAAATAAAAACATAACATAAAGAGAGTATCTACCGAATACACAGTCTAAACATTTACAGAATAAGTGAGTATACACTATATTAGACTAACCTGCTATTAAATAAACAAAACGTGTATACATTATAAAGTAAAAATACAATTGTCAAAACACGTGACCACCGCTGGGTGATGTGATGACAACTTGTAGCCATTGGGCTGCAAACTCAAGGGTTAACCATGTAACACATCCAAACCTGCACTGAACATAATATATATGCACTGTATGCAGACAAGACTTTCTCCTGCTCTGGTACCTGCACATTTAAATGTATATATATGTTAGGTTGTTCACAGATATGTATATTTGTACATTCACCTGATAAGAGTGTAACTATATTCTTATAATCCCTATGTATATTGGCATGTGTACAATCTGTGTTTCTCTCTTATTCTGTTTCTTATCTTTTCTTCTCCTTCTCTCTCAGGGAGGTGTGGGAGCTGGACCCCCCCGAGGTGGTGAACTCGGTGCTGCAGTACGCTGCCTGGGGGGTGCAGGGCCAACAGCTGGTGAGAGCACAGACACATGTCCACAGTTCAGCCTTTACACCATCACTGTGTCTGCGTTAGCTTTATCTCAGTTCAGGGTTACTTGTTTTTTTCTACATTTACTTATTGGTGTCTCCCACCTGCTCCATTAACTGCATTATTCTCAACGCATGTTTTTCTTTAAGGTTTCAAGGTTAGCGAGATGAAAAACGTATTTTCATTGATGTTTGAATGCATTTATTAACCGTCTAACGGAAACACTGAACCAACATTAGGTAGTGAGGTTGCTTTCTTTCATGATGCAATTCAATTGGCTAGCACAGACAAATAAAATAATGTAAAATGTTGCCTTCAACTTATTTATTTGTGAATGCTTGGTCCTTATCTGACATCAGAAATTGAAAGGAAAAGCAGTCATTTGAAGGTTCTGTGAGACAATAAAATAATAATATATCTTCAGCCCCAGGCCTGTATGACATGTGCTTTTACCGCATGTGTTTCTGAACTGTGAGGAAACTAAAAATGTGTCTATTTTCTAATTCTTAACCCTTAAATAGGTATTTCATATTTTGGAAAATGAGTTGATTGGTCCACCCCATTAAACCCATGTTACACCATTATTACACCAGTCTTACCCCCAAATGACTCTGTTATTACATGCATGTTACACCATGATTACACTCATATTAAACCCTTATTATACCCATGTTTAACTGTTTCTTAGACCCATATTACACTTTTATTCCAACCCTATTACACCCATATTACACATGAATACACCCCTATTAAACCCACGTTACACCATTATTACACACGTAATACACCCATTTCCCACATAGACACAGTCAAATAACGGATCCCCCAGGATACAGAAGCAATGTAAGGGTTCATTTCCAACTACTCAAAATGTACCACATTTTTGAGGGGACCTAATTAGATGCACATGTTCATACCTTTTTTATGAATCTACACCAGACAGATGGTCAGGGGTTTTATTTGACAGCTTAAGGGCTAAAGCAACGTAGAGCTGCTTTGTCCATATTTGCACGTTTAGGCGTGTAATATTTGAGCATAAATCAAACAGGACTCCATTAGGAAGTCATTATGGTGATAAGGGTGAGAGCCAGACAGACGTGAAGGCGTTCTCTCCGAGTGGACCGTGAAGCATCATTAGCTGGAAGAGCATCTCTGGAAACAACGACCTAATGTGGGCTTTATGTCCGTAGGCAGGCATGGCAAGTATCTGGGAATTAGTGTATTCTCATTTAGATTCTAGAAAGTTTTGTTTGGATTATGAATTAGGTTTGTGTCCATTCATCATGTCTTAAGCAATGCATTGCACAAACAGTTTCATTATTAGGAGTTGTCTGAATTTCTTTGATCATCTGTGAAGACGTGTCAGGGGTTCAGTGTGTGGCACTGTGGCCTGCAGAGGACATGTTTGGTTTGCTGAGAGCCACAGACAGGTTGGACATTTCTGAGAGACGCTTTTGGACTTCTTTTTACAACTCTCCTTGTGAAGGTCATGGCCAGAGCTTAGAGGTTGTTATGTTACATTTGGAGTTGTGAGCACTTCTTAAATCTAAACAACATTCAAAGATTGTTTTTAAATATTTGAAAGAAACTACTTTACATTCACAAAACTATATTTCTCAGGCCTTTACCCTTCCTTTGTCATTGTTTCTAAATGTTTTTATATCAGAGTAAGGGGGAAAAAAACACAAAGAAACCTGGATGGTTCCACACTACGTTCTTTGAAATAAAAAAAATACTGATCACTGCTATCATTTATTTAGGGATGTTTTATTCAAATGTATAGCATCTGAGGTCTTCTGGTGACAATTTAGTTTTGTAAAATCATTCAACATTTTTCCTTTTATTTACTATAAAATAAGGTTTTATTTGTGTTAATAAGTCAGAATTAATTTGGTTAAAAAGGTGTGTAACAGATTTAGGTTACAACGTATACTACATGCTTTATAAATAGCCGAACCTGGTTGAGAAAAGTTGCACAGTTGAAGACAACAATATCTCATTTGAACAAACCTGCGGCGCTATACTCTCCCTACAGCTGCAGTCCTGTTTCCTCCCACTTCTCTTTTGCAGATTCTGCTGTTAGATAAGTGTTCTTGAACCTTTAGCTCATGCTCTGTCTCCGGACTGATGAGGTCTCGGGTCCTGCAGGCAGACAGCAGGCAGCCTACAGACTGATAAGGTCTCGGGGTCCTGCAGGCAGACAGCAGGCAGCCTACAGACTGATAAGGTCTCGGGTCCTGCAGGCAGACAGCAGGCAGCCTACAGACTGATAAGGTCTCGGGTCCTGCAGGCAGACAGCAGGCAGCCTACAGACTGATAAGGTCTCGGGTCCTGCAGGCAGACAGCAGGCAGCCTACAGACTGATAAGGTCTCGGGGTCCTGCAGGCAGACGGCAGACAGCCTGCTGACTGTGAGGGTGTGTCAGTGCAGAGGCAGACCCTTTGCTGATGAAGTATTATGTAAGATCACTTAAGACCACAGACGTCCATCTTTTTACAAAGACTGAATAAAGATTGGGTTTCCTAGACGGACTTTGATCAGTGTTACGTGGACAGACGTTTGTCTGAGATGTTGTGACGTGTGTCAGTGAGTTCAGCATCATCTTTTTCAACAGGGAAATGTTGGCAGCATTTTCCACTCAGTAATCTTTAGTATGACAGCTATTTAAACATAGTTGTCTATACATTCATGGGCAAATGATCAACGTCAAGTACTTATTTTGGCAGCTGGTTTGTCACATCACTATTTCTGCATTGAAGGCTTTTCTTGATGGAAAACATGCTTTTGCTCTTAAGCTGCCTTCACACTAACACGTTAAGTTCCTATTGAAAGAGTTCAAAGTTGAATTTGTTTTATATTTGATTGCAGATTATCTTTGTACGCACAACCAATGAGATAACTGCTGTATGACATGGCACACTCTTTTAACCACAAGGCTCTGCGGTTAAAAGACCCTTGCCACCGCAAAGAGGAAATTGTCTTTCATGTGAAGGCAGCTTTATCTTGACTAACAGATCGTTCATCCAATCACCTGCAAACCATTTTCTTAATAGCTGTTTCCAATGATGGCTGCCGAGGTGGTTCAGGTTCACAACCTATTTGGGCTGTTGGGTTTTGGAGCCAAAGTGTCAGAACTGGAAATCCCTTGAGGTAGAGGGTTCTGGTTCTTGGATTTTAATTGACTGCTGAGGCCTCAGAGGGGGAATAGGTTTACTTCCACGAAAACATTTGAAAGTACATTATATGTTATCACTTGATAGTTTACATACACTATTTCACCTTCAATACTTTGGAATAATTGAGCAAATGAGTATGTGATGTACTAGTTTATAATTTGCCTACATAAAAGATTACAAACATCAGAAAATGGAAAACCCCCAAAAGAATAATAGGGCCTCTATAAGTCATGGCTGTGTGCTTTGTCTCTACAGATCTACATATTTGAAAATAACATCTACTACCAATCAGATGTCAAGAGTAACTCCCTGAGGATAACATCTTCAGGGAAGGAAGGCATCATCTTCAACGGGATCGCTGACTGGCTCTATGAAGGTACATATCAACCTTTCCTCATACCTAATTATTCTGTCTAAAAGTGTTAACAGCCTGGGGGCGTGACAAATAACAACACACAAAATGAAAAGCACTCACCTGCAAATATGTCTCACATCAAGACTGACTGGCAGTGATGGGACAGTTGCAACACTTCAGAGAGGACATATTCTGCTGATGTAGAGTTCAGGTGTATATCAGTATGTAGTGTCTCTACTTTAAAGAGTCCTCTCCTGCTGATGTTCAGGTGTATATCAGTATGTAGTGTCTCTACTTTAAAGAGTCCTCTCCTGCTGATGTTCAGGTGTATATCAGTATGTAGTGTCTCTACTTTAAAGAGTCCTCTCCTGCTGATGTTCAGGTGTATATCAGTATGTAGTGTCTCTACTTTAAAGAGTCCTCTCCTGCTGATGTTCAGGTGTATATCAGTATGTAGTGTCTCTACTTTAAAGAGTCCTCTCCTGCTGATGTTCAGGTGTATATCAGTATGTAGTGTCTCTACTTTAAAGAGTCCTCTCCTGCTGATGTTCAGGTGTATATCAGTATGTAGTGTCTCTACTTTAAAGAGTCCTCTCCTGCTGATGTTCAGGTGTATATCAGTGTGTAGTGTCTCTACTTTAAAGAGTCCTCTCCTGCTGATGTTCAGGTGTATATCAGTATGTAGTGTCTCTACTTTAAAGAGTCCTCTCCTGCTGATGTTCAGGTGTATATCAGTATGTAGTGTCTCTACTTTAAAGAGTCCTCTCCTGCTGATGTTCAGGTGTATATCAGTATGTAGTGTCTCTACTTTAAAGAGTCCTCTCCTGCTGATGTTCAGGTGTATATCAGTATGTAGTGTCTCTACTTTAAAGAGTCCTCTCCTGCTGATGTTCAGGTGTATATCAGTATGTAGTGTCTCTACTTTAAAGAGTCCTCTCCTGCTGATGTTCAGGTGTATATCAGTATGTAGTGTCTCTACTTTAAAGAGTCCTCTCCTGCTGATGTTCAGGTGTATATCAGTGTGTAGTGTCTCTACTTTAAAGAGTCCTCTCCTGCTGATGTTCAGGTGTATATCAGTATGTAGTGTCTCTAATTTAAAGAGTCCTCTCCTGCTGATGTTCAGGTGTATATCAGTATGTAGTGTCTCTACTTTAAAGAGTCCTCTCCTGCTGATGTTCAGGTGTATATCAGTATGTAGTGTCTCTACTTTAAAGAGTCCTCTCCTGCTGATGTTCAGGTGTATATCAGTATGTAGTGTCTCTACTTTAAAGAGTCCTCTCCTGCTGATGTTCAGGTGTATATCAGTGTGTAGTGTCTCTACTTTAAAGAGTCCTCTCCTGCTGATGTTCAGGTGTATATCAGTATGTAGTGTCTCTACTTTAAAGAGTCCTCTCCTGCTGATGTTCAGGTGTATATCAGTATGTAGTGTCTCTACTTTAAAGAGTCCTCTCCTTCTGATGTTCAGGTGTATATCAGTATGTAGTGCCTCTACTTTAAAGAGTCCTCTCCTGCTGATGTTCAGGTGTATATCAGTATGTAGTGTCTCTACTTTAAAGAGTCCTCTCCTGCTGATGTTCAGGTGTATATCAGTATGTAATGTCTCTACTTTAAAGAGTCCTCTCCTGCTGATGTTCAGGTGTATATCAGTATGTAGTGTCTCTACTTTAAAGAGTCCTCTCCTGCTGATGTTCAGGTGTATATCAGTATGTAGTGTCTCTACTTTAAAGAGTCCTCCCCTGCTGATGTTCAGGTGTATATCAGTATGTAGTGTCTCTACTTTAAAGAGTCCTCTCCTGCTGATGTTCTGGTGTATATCAGTATGTAGTGTCTCTACTTTAAAGAGTCCTCTCCTGCTGATGTTCAGGTGTATATCAGTATGTAGTGTCTCTACTTTAAAGAGTCCTCTCCTGCTGATGTTCAGGTGTATATCAGTATGTAGTGTCTCTACTTTAAAGAGTCCTCTCCTGCTGATGTTCAGGTGTATATCAGTATGTAGTGTCTCTACTTTAAAGAGTCCTCTCCTGCTGATGTTCAGGTGTATATCAGTATGTAGTGTCTCTACTTTAAAGAGTCCTCTCCTGCTGATGTTCAGGTGTATATCAGTATGTAGTGTCTCTACTTTAAAGAGTCCTTTCCTGCTGATGTTCAGGTGTATATCAGTATGTAGTGTCTCTACTTTAAAGAGTCCTCTCCTTCTGATGTTCAGGTGTATATCAGTATGTAGTGCCTCTACTTTAAAGAGTCCTCTCCTGCTGATGTTCAGGTGTATATCAGTATGTAGTGTCTCTACTTTAAAGAGTCCTCTCCTGCTGATGTTCAGGTGTATATCAGTATGTAATGTCTCTACTTTAAAGAGTCCTCTCCTGCTGATGTTCAGGTGTATATCAGTATGTAGTGTCTCTACTTTAAAGAGTCCTCTCCTGCTGATGTTCAGGTGTATATCAGTATGTAGTGTCTCTACTTTAAAGAGTCCTCTCCTGCTGATGTTCAGGTGTATATCAGTATGTAGTGTCTCTACTTTAAAGAGTCCTCTCCTGCTGATGTTCAGGTGTATATCAGTATGTAGTGTCTCTACTTTAAAGAGTCCTCTCCTGCTGATGTTCAGGTGTATATCAGTATATAGTGTATCTACTTTAAAGAGTCCTCTCCTGCTGATGTTCAGGTGTATATCAGTATGTAGTGTCTCTACTTTAAAGAGTCCTCTCCTGCTGATGTTCAGGTGTATATCAGTATGTAGTGTCTCTACTTTAAAGAGTCCTCTCCTGCTGATGTTCAGGTGTATATCAGTATGTAGTGTCTCTACTTTAAAGAGTCCTCTCCTGCTGATGTTCAGGTGTATATCAGTATGTAGTGTCTCTACTTTAAAGAGTCCTCTCCTGCTGATGTTCAGGTGTATATCAGTATGTAGTGTCTCTACTTTAAAGAGTCCTCTCCTGCTGATGTTCAGGTGTATATCAGTATGTAGTGTCTCTACTTTAAAGAGTCCTCTCCTGCTGATGTTCAGGTGTATATCAGTATGTAGTGTCTCTACTGGGACATGTCTCCATGCTTTAATGTTCAAAAAGCTCTTTATTTTTCTCATACTGCCTGTGCTGCAGCACCTCTTTTCACCCTCTGCCTGAAACCAGAGCCCAGTCTGCTCTGCTTGGTTAGCTGAACGGCTCTGTTGTGATTGGTCAACTGCTTAGAGCTGTCCCGCCCCCACGTACAATGTGTTGTAGTGCCAGCCAATAGAAGTGATATTGTTACTCGCACTTCTATCCTCTGGAGGGAACACAGGGATGTCAGCCTTTGCAGACCATTTACATGCACAATAACCTAGCTGCGGGCTCAGGATCCGGGAAACGGTGTTGCGTGTACCTGGATGATCCCGCCACAAGAGGACTTGGTTTAAAAAGACAAAAGCAATAATTAGCAGTCACAAAAAGAAAGTTGTAGCGATCTGGGGGAGGATGATGGAGGAGCCAGGGTTGATATACCGGGGGTTGATGACTGGATGGGGAGCAGGTGAGTTGGCAGAGAGGGGTAGGAACTGCAGCCAGGTGTGGGGGGGGTCGAGCCAGGAGGGACAGCCATGGCTACGCCAACACAAACACACACAGAGAACACACACAGAGTGGGCTGCTGCAGAGCTGCAGCTGTCAGTATGTTTTCAAGTGATGTCTGTTACACGCAATGTGATTGGTCAAAAGCTCTGAAAAATACTACTTTTGAAAAAAGTTAACACCACTTGAATAATATCAACAACATCCTGTGTGTTTGTAATCTTTACAAAAACAACAGTGCCTGACTTATTGATGAGCAAATAAATCATTTAAATAAGTTCCCTTTGGTGTGTGAAGGCGTTAAAGGTAAAACTCATTAAAGCATGCAGCTCAGACCGGTTCCTGCTGTTTGCATAAACGTTCAGATGTCAGATCATGACGTGTTGTGGAACTGCGTTAGTGGTTCTGAAACATTGCGTATAAACAGATCATATCTAACTACATTTTTAATTGTTGGCAGACTGTCCCATAAAGCGTAAATATCCTCGTTGAGAGACATTACCTCATAAAAGGCAGAGATTAAATATTCATAATGTTTGTTCTGGTGCCGATATCTCCCCGCTGGGTGTGAGGAGACGTTTTATGTGCTTTAAGTAAACACACACTGCATGCACTCAGAGACCGGCTATCTCTCAGGGGAAAATATTATTATGTAAATCTTATAAACAGGGAAGCCACCGCAGTAACTGTTGTTTCACCTTCCTTCTTTCCTTTTATGCCTACTTATGTTTGTGAAGTGCGATAATGTTGCAATTAGTGATGATTGACCCTAAAATAGAACTGAGTTTAACACCTCTTCAGGCATTGTTCTTTTCCACTACAGTTGGTTTGGTTTTGAGTCTGATTGTGTATTACCATTAAGGACAACACAATATTACATTTTCTATTGAATGACAATTAGTATACATTTAATTGGATTTGGAAATAAAATATAATATATATATATATATATATATAAAAATATATAACACATTCAGAACGTTTGACCTTTTTACAAAAACCGTTCTGTTTTCAGTGTTCACACAGTTACCTTGTTTTTTTAATGAAATCTTCTTTTCCACCAATCTGGGTAAACAGTTTTTATGATCAATTACATTATACAAAATAAATGTCCACAATGTAATGCATTTGGTTTACTTTACATTGTTTTATCAGGAACATTCCCATCAGAATCTTTGACATATATTATAGATGAACACATAACTGATTTTAAACCATAGAGGTCAAAGCTCAAAACTAATGACATCACACAATGAGTAACTTCAGTAACAGGACATGTGCAGTCCAAACATCCTTAATCCAATTTGTATAATCTGTTATGCTTATCCAATTATTCTGATTAAGGTCATTGTGTAACTCTCATTAGGAACAGGGTCATTTCTGTCTCAAAGTCTTTAACACACTCTGAACATGTTTTTGGTTGGATGCCTGAAACAAGGTCTGTAGTTAACACGAGCTGTAGAGATCTTAAAGTTTTGTTCCACGACTTCAAAAACGCAGAGCTTGATGTAGATGAAAACCTGTAACCCATCCTGTGTCACTTCCTTCCGAACAGAGGAGATCCTTCAGACCCATGTGGCCCACTGGTGGTCCCCTGATGGAGAGAGGCTGGCCTTCCTGGTCCTCAATGACAGTCTGGTGCCCAACATGGCGCTGCCCCGCTTCACCGGCATGACATACCCCAAAGGGAAGCAGTACCCCTACCCCAAGGTAAACAGAAGACCTGTCATGATAACTTTCAGAGTGGACACACTATCATTAGCCATGCTTTCAGGAAAATGTGAAAAACAAGGTATTGTTGTCATTTTCATTCACAATTTTGGGATATGTTTGCTTAAACAAGAATGAAATGATAACATTGTATTTTGTATCCGAAAACAAACTAACCATAGACTGCATATACAGTAGAGACGCCCTAAAGCATACTCATACTATTTTCCTCTAAGTGGAAACATCCATAATTGACAGAATTAGCAACATGCTGCATTGCAGAAGACTTGAAACTAGCGATTGAGGCCTTAAAGTTGTCGGAAAATGTTTCCTGATATGAGGTAATAAATGAAGCGAGAAGTAGGGTAATTGTTTCGTAAACGTCTATACAATTGGACTTATTTTTGCAACAAGAGGAGTCGCCCTTGCTGGCCATGAGAGAAAATGCAGTTTCAAGGCAGTCCTGCATGGCTCCACTCTTCAGACCCTGAGTTCTTTAGACACATCTTCACACTCACTATCCAATTAGCTAACACAAAATAAAGCACCAGAGCACACACCCTTACGCTCCTCACTTCACTGAGCCACATTAGACCACTGATTCCACGACCTCCAGCCGACCTCTGGTGCCGAAGACTAATATCTTTAACCTGTGAAGGCTTTGACCCCTGCCCCTGCCCTGACTGGTGGTCCAGAGCAGACAGACCCCTGCCCTGTGTGCTTGGTTTCTCCTCCGGGAGAAGCTTAAAGGGTCACTGAGTCAGGACCCTTTCCCCGAACCCACCCTCCTGCCGTGGAAGAGCCTGGTGGTGAATCACTGCTGGCCTCACCCCCCTTTCCTCTGGAGACAGAGGCCCACGTTAACCCCCTCCCTCACAGTTGTGGGAAGGATTTTTTCTCTTTTGAACGGAGATGCTTTCAGTCTTGATATCAAACTAAACTGAACACGTTCTCCAACTCTGTACCCATTGCTGTACGTTAACTAACTCTAAATAAACTAAAAAACTATTTCCTCAAAATGTTAAAGTTTGGTTTACTTTAATTTAATCTAGACCATAGAACAATATTCTCAAACAAATAGAAGAAATGTAGTATTTTAAGATGCTATTTCAATCCAAAGACCCTGGCCAGGTAGACACAAACATTGTTTAAATCAAGTTTTTCAAAAAATAATATGACTGTATTTCTATCTATCCAGGCCTTGGAATCAGCAAGAAGAGGAAAAGTGTAACTCTGAGTCCGTTTACATCCAGTGTTCAGTCAGACTGGGGAAGAGTAAACTTAAAAAGGGCAGGGGCAACTTCCCCCCTGTCAGCAGCGTGAGACAGAATGCAGCGTAACGCAGCGATCTCACAGACAATCAAAGTCACAGCTCTTGTTCTGTCTGAACATGTTTCTATAGGGCTCTCTCAGCACCAGCAGAGGAAATCAAAGTGGAATGAGTCGTTCCAGGTGGAATGAAAAAAATAAAATCTGAATGTGTCATACTGCAATGATCCCAACAGTGTTATAATGTCTGAGGGGTGGTTTCTCTTGGATGTACAAGATGTACAATGTCAAACACAGAGAGCAATGACACAATGCAAAAGCCTGTTCTGTTCTATTGCACTTTACTATTGTCAAAGTGTTTCTCAAGTGCATCATGTTTAATCCGTCTTATATTGCCCCACAGCTTTTGCAAGTTCTTCGTTTTCTGACTGCCCTTACATTTGTATCACTTTATTCTTGTGCAGAAAGTCACATGATGATGTCATGCTTCTGTCTGATGTGTGGCCTCTCTGTGTGCAGGCGGGCCAACCTAACCCGGTGGTGAAGCTGTACGTGGTGAATCTTTACGGGCCGACGCACACGCTGGAGCTCATGCCTCCAGAGACACTCAAGCTGCGGTGAGAAGAGCTAAATCTTTCTTTGTCAAACTCTCCTATCAGCTGCTGTTCCACTGCAGCTTGCTGTGCTCCACTTAAACAAAGAAACTATTACTTTGAATTGCAATGAGGTTAGCTATCAAGCTGAAGGACAAACCAGGACTGACCAGCAAATCCCAGCATTAAATTCATGTATTCACAAACAGTTACATACAATATACAAGTACTATCATAAGACAACATTGAGCTATGTGAAATGGGACACCCTGAGAAACAATCTGAAGCTGGGGAATGGGGGCACAGACACTAAACAGAAAATATAAAACACATATAGTTTACAATAACACCTAACAAAATACCCTAAAAAGTAAACGTATCCAGCCCTAACTACTAAATGGTCTGAAAAAATGAAGTTTGTTATTCTAAACATTGGTTTAGATAGGTAAGATATATTAAACAGATGAATAAGTGCTAATATCACACTGTCAAAATACACACAGCACTTCGATCAGAAAACAGACTTAAGGAAAATGCTAAACCTTAAACTGATGTAGTAAAAAAATACATAATTTACAAATGATTTGTTTAGCTACATAAGTTACCTTAAATAAGTACTTAAGTACAGTGAATGTACTAAGTTACAATTAGTTAAAGCCAGTGTGTGAAGCAATTTTATGAAATATTATGATACTTGAGCTTAAAAGGCTTTATATTGTGTTGTGTTTTTTGTCATAAAGCATATGTAATGTGCAGTATGTGTGATTGCATGGACTATAATTGCACAGTGCCAATAACAGATTTGACCACATTATCGTTATGTTTGTTAGAGACATGAGCAACATAGAAGCGTTATTGTCCTTTTTTATAGCCCATAAAGCAGTAAACTGCTCGATAAAATTAACCAGTGTCACATGGGAACGGTGTGCTGTGGTCGCGTCACCATATTCATAGAACACATAGAACAACCTCAACATTTTTCTCAAGATCTGTCGTTTTCCATTCATTCTCTACAGATTTTATTTTAAATAAGATTGAACCTTAAACAATGTATTATGATTATATGTCTACCATTACGTTGTAATCATTATCATTAAGAGTGCACTGATAATTGTGTAAAGAGTAATAATCATTGTGCGTTATAATGTTTTTGTAGTGAACATTATGTGACCATGGTGAAGTGGATCAGTAAGACCAAGACGTCGGTCAGGTGGCTGAACCGAGCCCAGAACATCTCCATCCTGACGGTGTGTGACACCACCACCGGAGCCTGCGTCACGGTGAGACAGGAAGTTAGCAAAGCATCTGATGTGGGATCTGCTGTGGGTTTCATCTAACACTGCCTGGGGCTGTATACCAAAAACAGCAAACGACTTAAATGTACTCACTATTAGAATGCATTGATGTTAAAAAGGTGCAAGCTAGAATGTATGTAATACATTATTCAACAACACAGGGTTTATAAGACAACACTTTTGTTTTAGTACCTTTATGCTACTCACACAAATGAAAATATGACAATAGAAACATTTCATAATAATCTTAAACATCTCAAGGTTTCAAGGTGAGCAGCAGATAGAACAGCTGCTAAAGAATAACCAGATGAAAACAAAAACAAAATGATACCTGAAGTACATTCATGAAGCTATTCCTCCATAGTGAAGGTTTCCAAGGTTGCTTCTGTGAGCTTTATGTTGATAGCTTTTAACTTATTATAGTTCATTTCCAATGGAACACTCTAGTGTTCATTCAGCACTTGTTTACTTTAACTTGTTCACGAGCACTCGTTTCAAATGGTTTCCCTCCTATTATCCACTGAGTGGAAGCTACCTGCCGTGTTGTTGCCAGTTCACGAGCAGCTAAGTTAGAAAAATGGCCTTTATTATTCATGTTAGACAAACAGTATGCGTGCCTTCAGTATTTCTTTCTGAGACACTCAAGTATTATCTCAAAAACACAGTTGAATACATTCCTTATACTGGTTTTGTGAGGCAACATTTGAAACTGTATTTGCTTTATAAAGAAAGAGTTTCAGTCGTTGAATCCAAAGCAGGTGGGTGGACATGTTGGGAAATTGTGGATGGACCAAAAGCGATCCATCCCAAAACAAAATTAATATTGTTTAATCACTTCCTGTGACATAATATTTGCAACTCATTCACAAATTGAAGTCAGAATATGAAAATATGTAATGAACCATTGAAGCTGTGTGTTATTTTAAAGTAGCCCATTAATATTTCATTGATCTTAGATCATGACATTCTTTTCTTCCATGATATTACATTGGGTCCTGTTAACATTACACATTTAGATCACTATCAGACTGCTATCTGTTATTGGGGCCTCGTTATATCTTGGTATCAATTAAAAGCCATATTTCAAGGTATAACCCCTAGTCCATATATATACCTCACAGACACACCTGTTCTTACTAGTAATGGTTGCTAGGCTATGATTAGCCAATCCTATTTTAGGGCGGGGTTTAGGAAACAGTCAGGGGTGCAGAGTCCTTCTAAAACAATCACACTTTAACTTTGAAATATCTTTAAATTATATGTATAGTTACTTTTCCAAATCCACCAGCCACTCTTCACATCAGCATCGTTTAGTTGCATCACTTGTTTTAATACACCAAACACTTTTACATGTATTGTCTTTTTTCTCTGTCTGCCCTGTAAGTATTCTATGTTTTGCTTATTTTACTGTTAGAGTGTTTGTTTTATTCATTGTAAGGCGACCATGGGTGCCTTGAAAGGCGCCTCAATAATATAATGTATTATTTTTTGAATGGAGTCCGGTGCATTGCTCACTGTGGCTACCTCCAGCAGACTTCACAGAGAACAATGGGGGCCAGTAGTCTGGTCCAGCTGTAACACAACCACAGCTTATCAGTTAGCATATTAGCGTGTCCTTTATAACCAGGCCTGTCACCTGCTAACAATGTTATCTTAACTTCACCTGTTCAGCTGACCACTCGGCACTGGAATGGAAATGTTGTCTTATTTTTGGCAATAAAGAACAAATATTATTCTGGCCTGGCATGGGTTCTTGCTGGGCCGCCAAACTTTGACAATTATAGCCAAAACTAAAATAATACAACTTTCAGCGGGGTGAACTGCTTCCATATTGGAGGAGCAGAGTTAACCCTGCAGTTGAAATGTGGCTCTCAGCCGCCGCTCTCCAGCGCTCTGCTTCCTGATTCAATGTGATTCGCACAAACAAACACGCCGCCCAGCCAACAGGCAGCTCGGCTGAGCCAAAGCCCCGCTCTGTGTGGGTTAGAAAGCATGGCTCGGACTGAGCATGCTGTCCCCAGCGGCGTGTTTCAATAAACTGCACAATACGGGGTCCAATCTGTGACAGATGATTCAGACTGGGACATATGCTGCTAACGTGTTATTCCAAAAGAACTTTGACCAAATATGAAACACAATGTTCAGCAGACTTGATTTTGAAAGAATGTGATTTCATCTACAAAACTGTTTTACTGTTCACTATTTAAAAAAATCCTCTGTGTACCAACAGTATGTTGCCCTTCTTTTTCAGAGACATGAAGAAAGCTCGGAGCTCTGGCTTTCCCAACAGGTAGAGTCCACATGTGCATGTGCTCCTCTACATTGAGTTGATGTCACCTCTATCTCAGTATCGTTCAAATGAACAACTTTACCAATTTCCAACCTTTCCCTACGTATTTCTATAAAATACTCGTTCACTAGCAGGGACCACGCTACAACAGTGTGATGTGTGTAGGTTTATTGCAAGAAGTAAAAAGGAATTGATATGGAGGGGTTGATGAGATGTTCTGGTCTGGGAGGACGTGTGGTCCGTTCAGAGGGAGACTCAGGGGGGGGGTTCCGTCTCCGGCATGATCTGCTCTGGCTGATTACGGGCCCCCAGACGATTCCTAGAATAAGACATCTTAAAATATACACTAGTTAATTATGAATGGTGACAGGCAGAGGATGTAGGGATGAGGGAAGGGGAGGGGAGGGATGTTGGGATGTAGGGAAGGGAGGGATGAAGGGAAGGGAGGGATGAAGGGAAGGGAGGGATGAAGCGAAGGGAGGGATGTAGGGAAGGGAGGGATGAAGAGAAGGGAGGGATGAAGGGAAGGGAGGGATGTAGGGAAGGGAGGGATGAAGGGAAGGAGGGATGTAGGGAAGGGAGGGATGTAGGGAAGGGAGGGATGTAGGAAGGGAGGATGAAGGGAAGGGAGGGATGAAGGGAAGGAGGGATGTAGGGAAGGGAGGGATGAAGGGAAGGGAGGGATGTAGCGAAGGGAGGATGAAGCGAAGGGAGGGATGAAGGGAAGGGAGGGATGAAGGGAAGGGAGGGATGAAGGGAGGGAGGGATGAAGGGGGGAGGGATGAAGGGAAGGGAGGGATGAAGGGAGGGAGGGATGAAGGGAAGGGAGGGATGAAGCGAAGGGAGGGATGAAGGGAAGGGAGGGATGAAGGGAAGGGAGGGATGAAGGGAAGGGAGAGATGAAGGGAAGGGAGGGATGAAGGGAAGGGAGGGATGTAGGGAAGGGAGGGATGAAGGGAAGGGAGGGATGAAGGGAAGGGAGGGATGTAGGGAAGGGAGGGATGAAGGGAAGGGAGGGATGAAGGGAAGGGAGGGATGTAGGGAAGGGAGGGATGAAGGGAAGGGAGGGATGTAGGGAAGGGAGGGATGAAGGGAAGGGAGGGATGAAGGGAAGGGAGGGATCAGAATCAGAATACCTTTATTAGTCCCAAAGAGGGGACATTTACATTGTTACAGCAGAAAGGAGCCAAAGACAGCTTAATGTTACCTAAGCATGCTAAACATAAACACAAAAAAAGATTATAATAATAATTGTTGTAATTTATTTTACAAAACTAATAACAAAGTTACACATTTTACAAAAATACACACCCTGTAAAAGTTCTGAGGATTTAGCAGCCAGGTATATATTGCACAGTTTTTAACGGCAAATATATATATATATATATATTGCACATATTGCGGTATCCCTCCGTGAGACAGCGGGGGTGCAGCAGCCTGTCGCTGAAGGACCTGCACAGTGAGGACAAGGTGTCCTGGAGGGGGGGGGGCACATTGTCCAGCTGGGAGGACCATTCTCCTGTCTCCCACCTCCTCCACAGTGAGGACTCCTGTCTCCCACCACCTCCACAGTGAGGACTCCTGTCTCCCACCACCTCCACAGTGAGGACTCCTGTCTCCCACCACCTCCACAGTGAGGACTCCTGTCTCCCACCACCTCCATGTGTGCAGAGGACTCCTGTCTCCCACCAACTCCACAGTGAGGACTCCTGTCTCCCACCACCTCCATGTGTGCAGAGGACTCCTGTCTCCCACCACCTCCACAGTGAGGACTCCTGTCTCCCACCACCTCCATGTGTGCAGAGGACTCCTGTCTCCCACCACCTCCACAGTGAGGACTCCTGTCTCCCACCACCTCCATGTGTGCAGAGGACTCCTGTCTCCCACCACCTCCATGTGTGCAGAGGACTCCTGTCTCCCACCAACTCCACAGTGAGGACTCCTGTCTCCCACCACCTCCATGTGTGCAGAGGACTCCTGTCTCCCACCACCTCCACAGTGAGGACTCCTGTCTCCCACCACCTCCACAGTGAGGACTCCTGTCTCCCACCACCTCCATGTGTGCAGAGGACTCCTGTCTCCCACCACCTCCATGTGTGCAGAGGACTCCTGTCTCCCACCACCTCCACAGTGAGGACTCCTGTCTCCCACCACCTCCATATTATCCAGAGGACTCCTGTCTCCCACCACCTCCATATTATCCAGAGGACTCCTGTCTCCCACCACCTCCATATTATCCAGAGGACTCCTGTGTCCCACCACCTCCATATTATCCAGAGGACTCCTGTCTCCCACCAACTCCACAGTGAGGACTCCTGTCTCCCACCACCTCCACAGTGAGGACTCCTCTCTCCCACCACCTCCATATTATCCAGAGGACTCCTGTCTCCCACCAACTCCACAGTGAGGACTCCTGTCTCCCACCACCTCCACAGTGAGGACTCCTGTCTCCCACCACCTCCATATTATCCAGAGGACTCCTGTCTCCCACCACCTCCATATTATCCAGAGGACTCCTGTCTCCCACCAACTCCACAGTGAGGACTCCTGTCTCCCACCACCTCCATATTATCCAGAGGACTCCTGTCTCCCACCACCTCCATGGTGAGGACTCCTGTCTCCCACCACCTCCATATTATCCAGAGGACTCCTGTCTCCCACCACCTCCATGGTGAGGACTCCTGTCTCCCACCACCTCCATGGTGAGGACTCCTGTCTCCCACCACCTCCACAGTGAGGACTCCTGTCTCCCACCACCTCCACAGTGAGGACTCCTGTCTCCCACCACCTCCACAGTGTCCAGAGGACTCCTGTCTCCCACCTCCTCCACAGTGAGGACTCCTGTCTCCCACCACCTCCACAGTGAGGACTCCTGTCTCCCACCACCTCCACAGTGTCCAGAGGACTCCTGTCTCCCACCTCCTCCACAGTGAGGACTCCTGTCTCCCACCACCTCCATATTGTCCAGAGGACTCCCCAGGACAGAGCTGGCCTTCCTTATCAGTCTGTTCAGTCTCTTAGAGAGAATAAAGACAAGCGATGGCCGGATGTTTGGCCGGATATAAATAGAGTTGGCCGTTATTAGAGATGTGGTTGAGGCGTGGCTATGCTTGTATCGCAAAGGAAGGCTCCTCTCATCCCTGAAATCCATCACCTGATGATGCAAACGCAGGTTGAGGCCTTCATGTCGGCCCCTCAAATCCTTCTCTCCAGCAGAGGCAGGGACCTGTGCCTTCATTATAACCTGTATGATTTAAGAGCAGAACATACAGCCATCCTTAGAGGTTGCTTTGCATTGGGTGTGTTCAAGTTGAAAATCAAAGCTGCAGCCACCTCGATCTGTTTCCTTTCAACAATGCATATCACCCACAGAAATTGCTAAATGCAAGCACATATTCAGCCTTTTTGATAATGTTTTCTCTGTGGTAGTTAGGTCATTCCCTAAACCTGGAATTACCTTTTTTGTATGGACTTATATTAAAAGAACATAATAGATATTGGCCTATCGTCTCTCAAAGGGGAGAGTGCAGTCTACTCTCAGCTTTTGAAGTATTTTTGATTCACTCGGGAGGCAGAGATGGAGGTGGGAGGGGGAGTCTCTGGCAGGGGGGAGCACGCCGCTCTGCAGCGGACATGTTTGGCTGAGCCGTGGATCATTTAAATGCTCGCCGCTGTTGGCACGCAGCGCTGCTCGTCTTTGTTAAGGTGATAAGGTGATAATCTGCGAGATGCTCATTTACTCACTGAGGTGTTGTCAGTGCTGACAGAGCCTCTGCTAACACATGTTTTATGTAAGACTCTCAAACGCCAAAGGCTAACTCTGAGCAAAGTCTCTCCATCCGAGACCCAATGTGTTTATGTTGCTGAGTGAGGGATTTATTCAGTGTGGGTTTTACAGATTAAATGTAAAGCTCTCAGTTAAGCTTTACACAGCCGAAGTCTGTCCTGAAATGCCCAGTACTATGATTCCCAACATCTTAATGTAAGTGGCTTCACAAGACTTTCAAAAAAGAAGAAAATGTCAAACTCCCAAAACACTGGATCCTACATTTCCCATAATGCAACTAATATTTATTCCCAGTAATAGACGGTCAAAGTCGTGTCTTCATTTTGTAACACATACTGTCTTCTATACATTTTAATTCCTCAAACTCAATCCCAGATAACCCTGATGACATCATGACATTCAGGGTTAAGAGGTTCTAAGGCTAGGGATGCATATGATTTCATATGACACCAACTTTATAAAAACACATATTGACGGTCTATTCCTTAGGGGAATTCATCCACAGAAAACACACTGGACGCTGCACTAGGTCAGAAACCAGAGGAGACTGTGAAGTCCATCACAGACGGACCACTTTCGGTCAAAATGTACTATCAATTAAAGGCAGCTCTTTGTGGAATAGCCTCCCAACTGAGATACGGGATTGTCCCACTCTCAATAGTTTTAAAGGTCAACTCAAAGAATGGATGAGAAACAAACAGATGTGCAATCACCGCTAAATGCACTTTAACACAAGGGTATCTCCTCTTGCACTTTAGGTAGCTCTTGTATCTTCTCCTGCACTCTACATGTGGTAGCTGCTACATTGTACTGCCATGTGGTAAATGCCTGTGTGCTGCTCATGCTCTTTCTGCATATCATGTATTTATTTTTGCTATGTATATAAATGTCATGTTCTTAAATGTTGTATGTCAGGGACTACGGATGGAAATTAGCTCAAAGCTAAAATCCGGCATATTTAATCTTGGAGCATTATTTGTTTAAAGTGTTCATCAATGTGCATTGTCCCTTTTCAAATAAACGATTAAATGAAAATGAAATGAAATGACATCATGAGATGACTTTAGAAGGCTGTACAGCGCTTGCGTAAATATACTACATTACTTTGTCTTGTACGTTTCAGGAAGTGGTTAATGGTTCATTTTAAACTTTGCTGATAGTGCTAATTACCCATTTCCTCCTTGGTAAAACGAGTCACCCTCTCACTGGCACAGCAGTTTTAGGTAGTAGCAAAAAAATACCTTTATTCATGTAAAAATGTTTCAGTTTAATATTGTCAGACTCAAAAAGTGTTTTCATGGTTATGATCATTTGAATCCACTTGTTCATGCTGTTGAGGTCAAGGGTAAACACATTTCAAGCATCTGGAAATGGGATACTTATATCCTGCTTCACACCTTTACAACAACAACAAATAGAAATCAGATATGTTGGGGAATCACAGTTCTTTCTCAGCCTTAAATAAAATAGGAATGTGTTGATTGGTGATGAGATGCTGTGGAGTTCATCAATCTTTTTTCTCTGCAGAACCAAGAACCTGTGTTTTCCAAAGATGGCAGCCGGTTCTTCCTGACGGTCCCGGTGAAACAGGGAGGCCGTGGAGAGTTCCATCACATCGCCATGTTCACCACACAGGTGAGGATCCAGGTCATAGTCAGTCCCAGGACAGCCACATTACACCGCTCAATCCTTTATTCTAACTCTATAGATGTTGTGTTCCCACAGCTTATATAACACTTTTTTTTAATTTAATGTGTAGCCTAGTGCGTACTCTCAAATTTAGGAAATTACTTCCAGCAGCACTTATCATGCTGTTGTTGAGCCGTTAATTGAAGTGTTGCCATAATCAAGAAACTTCTTACAAGTGTTTAATGACTCCTCCACAGCCTCCATCATAGAGAGCCTGTTTTCATCAACTCAGATACTAACACGTGCCCATCCGGGTGCAAAGGAAAACTCAAAGTGCATGTACTTCAGAAAGGTTAGAAGAACCGGGATAATGAAGGCAGGTTTTCACAGCTAGTGTGAAATTAAGTGTGTAATGACCTTCACCGTAAAATGCACTGAACCCCTATAGATGCCCTCTACTCCTAATACCAGGATGTGTTAAATGCAGAGTCTATCACTTTGTTTTGTGTTGTGAACATTTATTATGATAAAAAGGTTGATTAAATTAAAATCCTCCGTTTCCAACTGCAAAACAAGTCCAATAACCATCTATTCAAACATTTTACAATAGTTGATGTCATTTCTTAGAGTATCTTCATCTGCAAAACTGAGCTAAAAGGTTATAATAAAAGTATTGAGATTGTGTCATAAAAAGGAGAAATCTGACGTGTTTTGTCATTGAATTCAAACAAATGACCTGTACTCATGTTCTTTTGTTTCTCTCAGTTCAGAGCAGATCAGAATGAAGTGCGCCATCTGACCTCGGGGAACTGGGAGGTGACCCGGATCATCGCCTACGATGAGAACACTGACAACCTGTGAGTATACAATTGTTTATCAGAGAAATACAAATGTAATCAATCAATCAATCAATCAATGTGTATTTATATAGCTCAATATCACAAATGTTACATTTGTCTCAGTGGACTTCACAGTTTGTACAGAATATCAGTATGACAATACGACGGAAACACTTCCAGAGAAAACCCACAGTTTAAAGGGGAAATGGGAGAAACCTCAGGGAGAGCAACAGAGGAGGGATCCCTCTCCCAGGACGGACAGACGTGCAATAGATGCCGTGTGTAAATTGAAAAGATAATACATTTACAGCATAGGTAGTCCAAATGTTTGGAAATGCATGTGTCTATAATAAGAAGATGAATTCACGAGGATGTCAACAATCCTGTGGGAGCCATCAGGGAAGTAGTATGATGAGAGTCAGGCAGGACCGCAGAGACAGGTTCAGCCACGACTCAAAATCAGGATCCAGTGCTCAGAATCCAGGACTCAGGACCGCAGCAACAGGATCAGCCAAGACTCAGGATCCCGGCGTAGATAGACACCAAAAAGAAATTTGGGGAAGCTGTGTTATTCGGAACATGAGAGTACACAGGTACAGACAGAGAGAAGGAAGAAGTAAGGTGTCCCCCGACAGTCTAAGCCTATAGCAGCTAAACTAGGGGCTGAATCTAATCAGCCCTAACTATAAGCTTTATCAAAAAGGAAGGTCTTAAGCGCACTCTAATCCATTAACTATGTCCTCTTAATATATTTCATGTGGTCTATCCACTGTCACATTTGAATACTCGTGTTATTTTATCTTAACTTTAGATCCTACATGTGGTTTGAAATGTAGATTCAGCTTAAAGAAAGAGATATGAAGTTGTTGCTCTTGTTGTTTCCTCTCAACAGTTATTTTATCAGCACAGAGGGATCACCACGACGACGGCAGCTTTTCAGGTTTGTTCTGCAGTTATAGCTGATCTACTTCATATTCACATTTGACATTTGTCATAAAATATCTTTGCAAGACTCCCACACGACTCATAGCAAACTGATAATAAAATCACTGTATTCACTCCATGTCTGCTCTCTGTTTCTTTCTGATGACAAACACTTTATTTATAGTGAATATACCCACATTAAAGGATAATGCTGGTATTATTTTTATCTTTTAATTACTGCAACGAATATATCAGCTTAGCTAATTATCATTCTCTGTGTATCCAACGCCTGATATATCTTATCTCCTGTGCCACAGCGCCCACAGTCAATTATTTTCCAGATTATCTGTAAATTGTTTAGTCTATAAAAATGTTGGAAACAGTGACAACAGCAGCAACAGCAAATCCTCATATTGGAGAAGCTAGAACCTGAAATGTTGGTCCTAAAAACGTTTAGGATCATTTACTCTCAGTTGACTAATCACTTACACCACTCCTCATTGTTTCTACTCATAGTTTTCTTTACATTTCAATAGTTTGTCTTTGCCCCGAGCTTTATCCTGCAGCAGGTTGTAATATATTAAAGGTAGGGTAGGTAAGTTTGAGAAACCGGCTCGAGATCGCTAGAATTTGAAAATACACAACCGGAGAAAATCTGCCACTTCCTTATAGAGCCCCTCCTCCAACACACACGAACGCGCACATGACCAATGAGGGCACGAGATAAGTTTGTGCACAGATGGAAGGCTGACAGGCAGGTAGGCCATCCAGTTATTTTAGCCGGGCCGGCTAAAATGATTGGTCGTGCTTTTTACAGTACTAAGGCTTCCACAGATGAAATGTTTTTATGGATTTTTTGTCAAAGCACTTCAGATATTCATTGCTATCGGGATGTTAAGAGCATTCCATGGAATATAACAAAAAGTGTATCTCGAGCCGGTTTCTCAAACTTACCTACCCCACCTTTAAGCTGGATATGTTGTATTGCTGGTGTTGGACTCTTTATGGGATTGTTTGATAGTTATAAGAAGATAAAGTGATGCTGACATTACCCTCAAACTTGACTCAAACAGTTGTGCTTTCCTCATGTGACCTCCTCTCTTCAGTGTGAAGACGGTGGGTCTGTTCCCACGCCGGTGTCTGACCTGCGAGCTGAACAAAGCTCACTGTCTGTACTTCGATTCTGACATCAGCCCCACCAACCAGCACATTATCCTCCACTGTAAAGGTAGGCCAACACATATTCATGTTTGATTAGAGGCTCTTCCAGTGTCTGCTCTTAAACTCCTGCTGAGGTTAGAGCCTCTTTACCTTCCTCATGGAGTCATATTTCCTAATACAATGGAATGCAACGGTCATGATCGAGGGAATGGTTGAATATTGGTTCTGGAAGGTGATTGATACCATCTAACTGTAGAGGACTCCCCACATCACGCTTTACACATTGATAAATACGATGAGTCATCCTTAAGTTTTTAGGAAAGGCTACCTCTGGAGGCTCTATTTGAAATGATTATCATGCAGCATCTTTGAAATCCCCCAGTGAAACTACTTTTTGAAGTTTGGTATTGGAGTAATCCTCATGTATAACTTGTTTGGGATCATAACACTATCACTGTGGAATCGACGTATTATATTGAAGCTACCAGTACGGGCCATTACTTCTTCCCAGAAAGGGCATTTCCTTTCTGCAGTTAAAGAATATAAATGGCCGTGTGTGTCACCAGTGGTTACACTCTCATTGCATTATCTATCAAACAGATCATCTAAACACTGGAGTGTTCTAAACTTGAACAACCTCTGCTTTCACACATCTGGAACATGAAGGCCATTCAAATGGTTTCAGGCAACAGATGACAAAATGCTTGTAAATGATGGATGGTTCTGTGCTTAATGTTCCTCATTTATTCTCATTGTTTTCTTCCTGAGATCATGTGGCAGATGTCAGGGTATGCCCGTGGTAATTATCTGTCATCCTCCAACTATTCTGTTTTAAATTCATCTCTCATCAGTTCCAAATGAGAGGCATTAAATTAAACAATTAGCTCATATATTGTGTATAATTACTTTTCGGTGGAGTTATTGTGCGGCGAGCAGCTTATTTAATAGAGGGTAACTCTTTATATTGTTTGTGGTTTCAATTTATTTTGAGCAGATGAGTGCTTCATGCTCAGAAGCGTTTGGCTTAGTGATTTATTAGACAATAAAACTGTTCCCTTTTCCCAAAAGCTATACAAATAATGGAGGAAGCTTGTTGTTTCCCAGGGCCGAGTTCACAGAACATCTTTGTCTCCCGTTTCATCAGGAGTAACACTAGACTTTATTTCCACTCGTAAAACGTTTCTGATTGGTTTGCTACTATAGCAGCTACATAATGAAAGCATTTATCTGTGTGTCATAAGAGAGAGGTGAGGAATGCAAAGGTCGAGGCTAATGCAGTAACAACAGGAAGTGTTACTCATAGTTTCAGTACAAAGAAAGTGTGTGCAGGAGGAATGTGTGTGTGCAGGAGGAATGTGTGTGTGCAGGAGGAATGTGTGTGTTTGGCTGCTGAGGGAGCTATTCAACACACCTGCCATCCTATTAACCTCTGACCAAGTACAATAAAAGGATGTTGAAAATAAGCGAGTCAATTTGACAGTCCGAGGCTGTCAGGGAGGCTCTGGGAGTGACCTGACATCACACAGGTTCTGTAGGGATCTGGACTTCCTGTGTTTGACTGTCGTGAGGCTGATTTAGAGGAGCAACCCTTTCACACAGACTAATACAATGCTGGAAGAACGAATGGTGATTTCAAATGTTCCATCATCTGCATGTAGCACACACAACGTTCAATCGGAGTAACAGGATGATGTTTCAATTACACTCATGTTTTGCCCTTTTTCCTTTTCAGGTCCTGGAGCACCTACTGTGATCTTACACAGCCTCATTCATTCAAGTAAGCGCACGTAGGATCTATATTGCAGTTGTTAGTTAGAGACCTCTATTGGCGGTAGTAGTATAGACAGTGGTCGTAGGGAGAAGTTCAGAGTGGACAAGCATAAGACTTTCAATCATTATTTTAAAACAAAGATGTAATATTGAGATATTTGATGTTACATATCTACAGTATGTCACAATGTTAGCATGTACGTCCCTACATTGGTACGTAACCATGTCTCCTTCTACGTGACCTAGTTCCAACCAGAATCTTTAACTAACCTAATGTTTATATGTTTATGCGTAAACATAAATAAGAAGGTTTGGAAATCACCAAATACAGTATGGTATTTTGGATTAATTAGTTACATCTATATAAGTTTAGACCTACTCTGTCCTTTAAGTTATATGTTTACATTCGCCTATTCATTTTTGCTGTTGTGGCTTTAGGCGATTTTTAGGGAAAAGGAGGACTTATGATTTTACACAAATCTTTCAAATGTCTTAAGGTCTTGCTGAAAGAAAAACAGAAAGAATCTGCAGAAAGACATCTTTGTGTGTAAGGGTGTTCAGGTTGTTGAATAAGGTTTTGAAAATATAGTGATCACTTTTTCCCTGCAATTGAAACTTTGCATGTTCTGAATGTTTTGAGTATAAACAGCTTTGTCCTGGTTTAAAACTGGCCGAATGAGCATCATCTAGGTAACTAGAGGGCCAACAAACCTGGATGACTTCCCTAGAATTCAGACACACCACTATACACACATACACACATGGTTGCATTCACTCACAGCCACACAAAGTAGTTCTTCATGTTATCCATGCCTGTAACCCCCCCCCTACCAAAAGAGAAAGTTAACAGCTGTGCTGCAGCAAAGCAAGCAATTTGCCCGAGGATATTTGGATAGGTCCTCCATCCACAGCTGGGACCTCCAGGCCTCTGGCGGCTTCATAATGAGCCGCCTATTGATTTTGGGTTTTCCATTAGAAGTGCTGGATGAATTCCATTTCATTTAGCTGCTTCTCAGATGGTTTGAATGGAGAATTGGCCGAACTGGGGAGTCATTGTTTATTACAGGTGGAGAAAGAACTTGGGCTCTAGTGTTTGAGGCCAGATTGAGCAAGCTGCTGGGAGTCAAATGCCTTTAGAAATATAAACCTTTTGACTATAGTTATGTGCTCATACAAGTTTAACAACAGAACACATGACCATAATTATTAGGATTGAACAACAAACGAAGCACAGCTTTTTTGATAATGTTACACAAATCCTCCCTTTTTGATTCAAAAGACACATACAACCTTTGTTAGGAACAAGGTGATTTACATTTGTCTTTGGTTGCATATTTCATCCTCTTTCTTATCACATTTGAGTATTTCAAACTGTCTCCTTTATTTACAACAGCTAAACCCCCAAGGGATTAAATCCAGGAATGTATTCAGCGTCCCGAAACATTTACATTTACCACAAAATGAAGCGACGTCAGAAACGATCCGTCGTACCTCCACCTTCCATTTCATCTCATTACACCTCTTGTTATTATGGGCCATTTGTATGCAGCGGCGCTTTGATTATTGGCAGCCATTTTGGGACTCCATCATCCTTTAAACACATCCCCCATCTTTACAGATTACTACATCCTGGAGAACAACTTGCTGCTGAAGGCCACCCTGCAGTTCAAAAGGATCCAGATGACCGACTTCAGAACCGTGCAGATGGAACATTTTGGTGAGAAAATGTATTGGTTTATATTCCGTTTCTGTGATTAGAAGATGAATTTGTGATAGAATTGATTTTCTTTCTATTTGACAGATTTACCTTTAAAGATCTCCTATCCTCCAGACTTCTCTGAGTCCCGTCACTATGGCCTACTGCTGCTTATGTAAGTATCATCTGTAATGCCACAACGCACAAGATGTCAGAATCACATACTGAGGAATTATTTTAAGTTCTGACATTCATTCCTTGGTCCAAAGCTACAAATCAATAGGGAACACTATCGTTTACTGTATGTGTAATGCTTATTCAAAATCTGAAACATTTAAAGCATTTTCTCTTATCAGTTCAGGGTAGCCTACTGTCTGAAGGATCACTTCTGGACGTTGTCTTGAACCTCAGTCTGCAGACTTTATTGTTTGGTTCAATCATTTTGATGGAGTCTTTGGGTCGATGAAAGTTGTCCCTCACACTTCACACTTTTTTGCAGCAGGTGCATGGAAGCATCATCAACAGTAACACCACTCGCTTGACGTAATTTCCCAGACAACGAGCCCCTCTACTCACACAATGGCTCAATTCAGCTCCAGCAGTTTGATTCTGCTGGACGCGATCCTATGAGTCTTCTTCATCCTCTCATTCTGTGCCTCCACAGAGACAGCGCCCCCGGTGGCCAGGCGGTGAGCGAGCGCTTCTCTCTGGGCTGGGACTCGGTGCTGGTCAGCTCAGACAGCGTCATCGTGGCCCGTCTGGACGGCCGGGGCAGCGGCTTCCAGGGTCAGAGGATCCTGCACGAGGTCCACCAGAGGCTGGGGACTGTGGACGTCCAGGACCAGATCGCTGCAGTGGAGTATGTTATCAAATTCACTTCATTCTTCTATAAATCCCTGTGTTATGTTCACATTTTGGACCCTTCGGTTCACATTTCACAATCGAAAGTGTTTTTTGTGGTAAAGTTGTAAGTTATGTAAGAATCCACACCCACCATGATCAAGACTTTGGCTGCATATGCGTGCTTATGAGCAACATTGAAATGAAACTATTTTTTTATTGAAATTTAATTCTCACTTTGGACAAATACTATTGTATCATTGTTATTTCAGAATTATTTTAAAAGGATGGACCATCTTTAAATATTCCATCATGCAAATCCCCTCAGGAAGAATATTACAATTATCTCTTAATAGTAAAACACTTTGCACCTGATTGTTGTTCATACAACTTTTAGGAAGAACAATATGTAATCAGAAACTATATTTAACAAGTAAAACATGGTGGTTTCATGGCCTCCCTGTTGCAGCTGCTGCCTTCCTCTCCTCTGTTGTCAACAAACAAACCTGTGATTGAAATTGACACAGCTGTTGTTTAGTCCTTTGAGGTGGAACGAGAAACACAGCTGGCTGTGTGCAATCGCTCTTTGTGCATCCAAACTGTCCGCACCCGTCGATGTGGTTTAGTACAACCTTTTCTGTTTCTCTGATGTCTCTCATCTACCAGCAGGAAATGTTCCTCTGTGCTACAGGTGACTTTACTTTAGCCTTTCACAGTAGGTGTATTTATAACCACTACACCTACTGTATGTGGTTATAAATACATGTGTTGATTGCTACACTCGAGATATTAATATATTTCACACAAAATATATAAAGGTATTTCACTTTTACCAATAGAACGTGAGTATTGTAGAGAGATCTTAAAAGAATAGGAAGAATTTACTTTGCATTTTGACAATTTAGTTGAAATTAAATGAGATTTTTTCACAGCTCAACTGTATTGTTTTAAAGAGGACCTATCATGCAAAATGCACTTTGGTATGTCTTTTATACATAAATATGTGTGTCAGGAGACTCACAAAGTGTCACAAATAAAACCCTCTCTCTTTTCCTCCGTACCCAAATCAAAAAAAGAATGTGGGCTGGCTTTACACCCACGGCCCTATCAGAAACGTTGCTATCAGAAACAATGCACGACATGTTTTGGACGTAATATGGTCGGTGTTTACATTAGCATCGCTAACACTCAGAGCTAACCTGTACTGGACTAGTATGTGTAAAGAAGCAGGAAATAAAAAAATAAATCACTTTGTGGTAAACCCGCGAGAGAAAAAGCATTTGAGCTCCATACTGTTTCAGAAATAATGCTTGAAGTGTTTGGAACAGGATGGCGTTTCATCACGGCAGTGTTTAGCTTTATCTCCGGTAGAATTAAGGGCAGGCATTAGCTCCTCCTCCTCTTTTATCTTTTTCAAGCTAAGGACCCCGAACCTGCAGTTCTCTAAGAGCTGGAATAGAGGGATATGAGGGATGTCTCAAATGCATGATCTGTTTGGTATTTTGAGCAAAACACATCATAGAAATGTTTTTTACATATTTGTACCATAATGTATGAGTAAATTGTGCATAATAGGAGCCTTTTAAAATGCAAAGAAAATCAAACCTGTTTCTCGGCTCATGCCTGTCCCTCATACAGAACACTGTGTTTATGAGATGTGAACAATGGAGCAGGTGAGGTGAAACCCAGCCTGTGGTTGAAATAAAAGTGCTCTAGTACAGTGAGTCACTTCAGAGATCGTGTCTTGAATGTTTCACTTCCAGCAAAGATATTTTTTACTCACAAATTGTCTCTTTAGAGTCCACCATCTGTTTCTCACCTCAAGCTACAGCTCACAGCGGCTCCAGAGAGATTAAGAAAACTTAATTTAAAACAAATCACTCCTATCAAAATACATTTACTCATTACCTTGCATTAATTAGCTAAACTTAATGCTGTGCCTAAAGGTAGCAGCCCAACCATATCAATCTAATATTATGTTTCAACCAGGTTGTTTGAACACAAGCCACTCCACATGATTCCAGCAGATGATGAAATACAATTCTAAGTAAACCATACATCTGTTGTAATGATTGATCATGTCCAATTATTCCATGTGCAGTGAGTTTCATATGGTCTTAATGTGTTCTAATGTATATGGCATGTGGCTTTTTCTTCCAGATTCATGATGACATTTCCATATATTGATCGAACACGGATAGCAGTGTTTGGAAAGGTGAGCCGTGTTCTGCTCTATAATTACATGTAAAATGAATTCAGTCTATTTTTGCCAGCAGCAAATGATCCATACACAGTGTATAAATCAATGTTGTTCAGGAAAAGTAGAATGTTTGGTTTTACATTCCACTATATTATAAGTGCCCTGCTTTAACGTGCTAACATGTGTTGTTGTTGAATTATTAGGGAACATTGAAATAGAGTTTGTTTTTACAGCTTGAATGATTTCCCCTCAAAGTAACATTAATGTTTATGTGTGTGTGCTCAGGGTTATGGAGCGTACATAACATTAATGATGCTCAAGTCCACGGACAGCCTCTTCAAATGTGCATGTGCGATGTCTCCGGTGACGGACTGGAAACTCTATGGTGAGTACAGACCTCCACCCCCTGCATCAGGATGGAGGATTTAACAAGTATTCAGCTACAAAACACTGATACTGTAGATGCTAAATCATAAGAAACAAAACATTACATTTAACTCAAAATAAAACGGCTGCCCCCGCGGGCACCAGTACGCGGATCTTACTCAGGAAAATAGTCAATATCAAGGCAAGAACGTTGCTTTGTGCATTTATTTCTTATAAATATGGAGAACAATGGTTTCCCCCGTGGTTTCCCCTGTATAGACCACCTGTCTCCAATGTAAACATGATCGCCAGGTGTCTACATTACCCAGTGCCCAAAACTGCCTTCACAATAAAAGCACAAATAATTACTTTAATTAACTAAAATAATTACCACTATAAACAAAAACAAAACATGGTTCATTATGGAATAGCATGAATCAATAAACAGCTCCAACAGATACAATCATTGTGAAGAGTGAAACTAATCATTGTACACATGGCGTCCACTCAGAGGAACGATTATTGGATCGAATATAAAACCATGTATGTTCCAAGTCCCCTCTCCTAGGTGGCAGATCGGATCCAAAAACAGTTCACAAATTATATTTGATTATTATCTTTGTACTCATTTGTCATTTTAACATGTGGAGAGATGAAGCAGGTATCTCAGGAATAACTGTCATTGTATGTCCACTGCTGAGGACACCACCCAAACATTATCAAATGTGATTCAATGGAAGTACATCTTAAATAACAGGTTTCCAGAAATATAAAGAAATGTTGTATTCTTTTGGATGTGTTGGGTAACTTGAATAACCTTTATACTGTTAATGCATGGTGTCTACTGCAACTACAACATTTCACTTAAAAGTAGAAATAAAGAAAGTACTCTGTGATTACCTCTGACTACACAGTGAGGGGAATCTCTCGTTAGTAACACAAACACAACACATGACAGCATTTATTTACAGTCTTACGATGCCACAGTGGACCCTTTATTCTGCACAAGATGTTTTCCCTCTCCACTGGAAGCTTCCTGTGAGCTGAGGCTGACAGGGAGTCCTCTGTGTAGTCACTCAGCTGGAGCTGTGTCCCCTCTGTTAACACATATCACTTCTCATTTGCACAGCATCAGCGTTCTCTGAGAGATACCTGGGCATGCCATTACGGGATGACAGCAGATATCAGGTGCGTGTTTACTTCCTCCCTCACCCGCTGACGTTTGAAAGCGGCTTGCTGAAACATCCCTGACACACCTTCAGCTCATCTGATCCTGAACGCTGCTATCAGAGCAGCGAGGCTTCACCCTCTGTTTTATTCACGCTCTGTTAGGATTTTTGTCACTCATTTCTCTTTGGAAACGGCACCAGTGTGTCAGAACACAGGCCAAGGTTTTTTCTCTTTTGTAAGCTGCTGCAAAAGGGTTGCCTGAAAGATGTTCTGCTATCAGAGGGGTTTCCACAGCGATAGAGAACAGAAGGCTGTTTTGTGAGCACATTGTTAACAACCAGACAACACATCTGTAATTCACTGCTTTCAGTAAACATGCATTTATATGTCTGCACTATTGCTATAATATCTGTTATCTCTCAACTTGTATAGACGGTGCAGGACAGGGGAGTAATGGAATCATGTGACAGGATGACATCATCAGGAAACATTAGAAGAGTTAACTCTAAATCCTTACAGTAAACTAAAACACTTTTCTAGTTTACCGTCACACTTCTGTTTTATAAATTGGGATTTCTGGCAGGATAACAATTTGTACAATTCATTTTAAAATAAAGAACGACATATAATAGGAGGGTTACTTTCAATTTTTTTTCGATTACAATAGCTACCTTTCAAAAATGTAATCAGTAACCGAATCTGAGTATCAACATTTAAAAGTAATGTTACCTGATTACTTTCTGTTACTTTTGGATTACCTTAATATCAAATTAATAAAAGAGAAAAATACAAATCAATAAGAGGTGTTTTTAATTAAGTGTATTATGACAACAGAGACATGTTACTTCTGCGCAAAGATTTTAATACAAACACAATATGCTCTTTTTTACTTTGTGAGGAACATTGTAATCCTGCTAGTAATCAACATAATAGTAATCTGATTACAACATGTATTATTTGCCCTGTTCATGCTCAGCTCTGAATATATTTCGCACATCCCTCAACTTTAAAATATAATAATAGTTTGTCATATACAGTACAGTCGTTCATTGTCCTAAGACTTTTCGTTTTTTAGGTTCTTTTGTATATTTAAATGTAAATGTGCTTCTTCTTTAATGCTGAATAGTTTCTTTAAAATATTTTATTTTTCTCATGCTTATATTTTTGTACCTACTCTTACAACTTATTTTCTTAGATTGTTAATGTTCGAACCATCAGACACCAAAGCAAATTCCTTGTGTAAACGTACCTGGCAATAAACCTGATTCTGATTCTAGTTACATATGTTTTATGTAACTGTAAGGCATTACATGTTTTAGTATCCTGATTACGTAATCCTGTTACATATAATCCGTAACTCCCCAAGCCTGATCATGTTGAACATGCTTTCACATTACAGCACTGCATGGGTCTCAAGGGAAACTGAAGCTAATCTTCCAGTTAAGAATAAGATCTGTATAGTTCTGAAAATGTTTCCACTCCTTATAAAAATGTTATATTAAAAGCAGAAAAGGGAAACAGCATTACGGTTCAGTGCAAGCTGTGCCATCCAGCTGTTATTATACTGGCATTATTTAACCCTCCTGTTGTCTTCGGGTCAAATCTGACCGATTTACTACTTTCATCAATCATAACTTTTTTGTTTTACATTCGATTGCATTAAGGCTTTATGATATCCTTCACAGTAGACATTTGAACATATACAATTGCTGATCACCACTTTCATTGCATTTTGGATGATTTAGTCAACTTTGTAACACCCATGGTGTTCCCGGTCAAAAATGACCGCCATAAAGAAAAGGAATTAGTAACCATCCGGGTCAGATAAAACACACACACAAACACACACACACACACACACACACACACACACACACACACACACACACACCCCCACCCACCCACACACACACACACACACACACACACACACACACACACACACACACACACACACCCACACCCACACCCACACCCACACACACACACACACACACACACACACACACACACACACACACACACACAGAACAATTTGACACATGTCCCGCTCGTATGTGCCCATCCCCCCACATGGATCACACCTGGCACACGCAATACATGTTCAGTGTCTATTCTTTGTATATTTACTGCAGTTGTTCATGTATACCAGTAGTCTGATACAATATGTACAGTTTGAAAGGGTGTTCAATGACATTTGGTGATGATTAATGGTTTTTGTGTTAATGTAATAGCAGTTAAAACAGGACCGGTCAAATTTGACCGCGAACACCAAAGTAAGGGGGGGGGAAACGAAGACAATAGGAGGGTTAAGGAGACAACATCTCATTTGATAAGCATTTATATCCCAACTGCTTTGTACATACTATTGTTATCCACTACTGCCTGAATTCACTTTTTGGTTTTCATTTAGGCTACTTTCATTCTTCTACTTTATTAAATATAGTGTTATGTACAGTAGGTCGACTGCTGATTTGCTAAACATAAATACTTTCTATGTTGAATAAGTTTAACATTTATTTTCTCTTTTTTTCACACGTAATAAGGATAGATTGCTTTTTTGAGATATTCAATCATGTTACTGATTATATTTGTTACTGGTAACAAGTAATTGTAAGAGAATACTATTAAAGTAACCCTCCCATCCCGAGACCGTAATATTACATGCAAAGAAGAATAAAACAAATTTGAATGGTAGATTCTTAATCCCTAAAATGTCTGTAATTGGGTTAAAACACGGTGCCTGTAATCAGTGTATGATGGAATGTACCGCATGTCTTTCATCGGATCGTACACCTTTCTTTTTATTGCTTTCCTTAATGGCAGTTAGCATATCTATCAATCTATTATCTCACCACTTTTTCTGATCCGCAGTTTTCCAGCGTGCTGCAGAGTGTCCAGGCGCTGAAAGAGCAGACGCTGATGCTGGTGCACGGCACAGCAGATGGTAAGAGGAAATAAATTGTGATTGAATGGAAACACTGTATCTGTGGTGCATCACTGCTGAGTACAAAGAAGCATGCAATCCTGCAACGTAATTAGCCAAATGTGTTTTAATCAAAAGATAAAAGGGAAAGTGGGTTATCTAAATTGATGCTGCGATTTCCAGAGACAAACACTCACTGGTGAATCATGCATGTCGGATTTGTTGAGGAATTTCCATCCTGCAACAATCTGATTGTGTCTTCTCTCTCTCAGTTAGTATTCACACTGAATCCTGCTGACATCTTTCGTTTTTTTTCATTCCCAGCAAACATTCACTTCCAGCATACTGCTGAGCTCGTCAAGAACCTGGTGAAAGTTGGAGCAAACTACTCAATGCAGGTGTGTATCACCAGGCACATTCTGAACACTGTATTTAGTCAAATGGTGGTCAAAATGCACATTTTCTATATTGTTCAACATAGAAAATTGTACTTTTGTACTCAAGAGCCATTTTGGCTTGCTGAGCAGCTCTCACAGGAATGAAGAGGGCTGCCTCCAGCACTGTTTTCAGTTCTCTCGATACATCTGTCTACCCCTTACCCATTCCCATTATTCCCCGGGTTGACTTTGTATGTCTATAAACCTCTTGGCACTAGTTTACTCTACTTTAATCAAGTTTAATCCAGACTGCTATTAAGGCATTAGCCTGAGCTCTGTGAAGTGCCTTCATAACCTAAAGCAGTCATCTGTTTACAATAAACTGTATTTTATTTCACTGTACAGTATCTCATTTGACTGTCTGTTAATGTGTATCCTATTTTATTTACATATATACTCCTGCATTTACTTGGTCATTTACAAACACATTTGAATGAATCAGCACATTGATCCTGCACAATGTTTTACTACTCTGTTTCTTCGTGCTCTATTTTTTATAGTTTTTTGTTAGTTTTATTGTTATATGTCTTATATATTTATGTTGCATTGTTGGAGGCCTAGGACTTAAGATTGTCCTTGTCTACACTGTAGCTACTGTGCATATGATAATAAAGCCTTTGAATTTGAACATTTGAAAATGTAAAAGGCCTCCCTCCTCCCCACAGATCTACCCAGATGAGGGCCACTTCCTGTCCCAGCAGAGTCGCGTGCACCTCTACGCCACGCTGACCAGCTTCTACAGGGAGTGTCTGAAGGAGGAGCTCCTACCGCTGCCCGATGACGAAGAGGAGGAGGAGGAGGAGTAGGGGGAGGCTTTGAGGGTCGGACCTTTGGCAGAGCTTGAAGGATTTTGCTCAAATCCGTCAAGGCCTTTCACGTATTGGACCAAGTGTTTAGCGAGACATGGACATTGGGTTAGAGCTGCTAATGCTCCTAAAGTGTGTGTGTGGCTGTGTGTGTGAGCACTCCGGTGTGTGACTGTGTACGTGTAAATGTGTTGAAAAGATAACTGAAGGACACAACAGTGACACTTTCTTTGAGGCGGGAACTGGCCTCCAGTCGTCCCATTTTTTGGACGCTTCGTTTCTTGGCAAAGCGCACAGAAGAGATCCTCCATGTTTCGTCTTCATCCACAGTGCATGGTTCTTTTCCCCCTAGCCGCCTCACACATCTCGACATGTTAGTCCCCATGGTGGTAACACTTGCAGAGGAAGAACACAGCTGTATACTTTGAACTCACCTCTCCTTTGGTTGATGTATTGTTGCACAGATAAATGCTCCAGAGGAAATGTTTAGTCACTCAAGTTCACCACAACAGAGCCCATCCTGAATAAGAGCTACTTCCTGCTGAAACCCTCCCCATCGCCCACCCTTAATATAAAAAAGTCTTTATAGGTCACACTTTATTGTACAGGGGTCTTGTGTAGACATGTACAATGCCTTATGAGGTTCAACATACTGTAATAGTACTTGCTGGCAGTGGTAGTCATACATTAGCAGTGTCATGTTAACCTATGTCAACTCAGGTCCTCGAGACATGACTCCATCATCAGTTTAGCATCAGCTCCAACACCATAGCAGCTGCTCGCTTAGGAACAAGTGATGCATACGGTATGAAGATTATTGAAATGTGGTTTACACTTAAAGGGATAGTTTATATGTTTTGAAGTGGGCTTCTATGAGTTACTTATCTCCAGTGGTGGAAAATAACTGAGAACATTATTAAGTACATTACATTTAGTATTGTATTTATGTAATTTTTTGACATATTTATAATTACTTGAGTTTTTCCATGTAATGCTAATTTGTACTTCTTCTTCTGTACATTTCATAGGCACATGGAGTACTTTTAATCCACTATATTTATTTGATCACTCAGTTACTTTGTACATATGTAATGATATAATGATTGTATAATGCAGTACTGTACTACTTATCTACACAGTAATTCAAGTATTTAAATTTGGTCCACACCAACTAAAATTGGTATAAAAACAGGATAAAATAATAACTATGATAATTTAATACTGTAAAAAATATCCATTCTGCACAACGAATACTTTTACTGTTGATACTCACTTAAGTATCATTTTAAAATCAGGACTCTTACTTGTAGTGGAGTATTTTGACACCAATGATTTGTACTTCTACTTGAGTAAAGGATGTGAGTACTTCTTGCAGCACTGCTTTTCTTAGTCAGAGTGTTACCCACAGTAGGTTCAGAAACACACACAGGAAGCTGAGCAATGTATTGTTTTGGACAAGGGACACAGCCAATCATATTTAAGACCCCTAAAAGAAGGCCCATCCAGAACACCAGTACCCCCAGCTTTACCCTCCACAGAGCTACAGAACTTATGTTGTATTCCAGGAGCTGCTATTGAATCTCTGCTTGGATTGGTTACTTTATTTTAGATGTTGTGAAACTTTGGTGACTCCATCAAACAGAAAGCTAAAGTAACTAACAGACCAATGACATGCCAGCAACCCCCAGGGTCTGCAGGAGTAATGACTGCTTTACAATGGAGTCTGGTGACAGTTCAACAGAGGTGGGAGAAGTACTCAGAGCTGGTACTTTAGTAAAAGTAGAACTACCAAAGTATAAGAATACTATGTTACAAGTAAGAGTCCTGCATTCAAAATGTTACTCAATTCAAATTAGAAAAGTATTAGCATCAAAATATACTTGTAAGTACTGTATAAGTACTCATTATGCAAATTGGTCAATTTCAGAATCATGTATATATTTTAAATGTTGATAAGGCAGAGCTAGTTTGAATGACTTTGTATGCTGAAGGGTAGATTGTGATACTGAACAACTGTTGTCTTTAATTAAATGTATTATGTAAACACTTTACACATCATGTGTGTGTACGTTTAGTTGAAAGCAATAGTGTTAAGTTAAAATATGTTTTATTTAAACATATTCTTTTTGGTTTCAACTAACCTAAAACACTTAGGTGTCATTTGTTGACATAATACATTTAATTAAAGTCTTGATTTCATTTTTTTCAGTGAATTTACTCCAGCTGGAACTAAAGTCTGATTTAACACTTGATTATATTTCACATCCTTCATCCAAATCTGTAAAGTAACTAAAGGTATCAAATACATGTTGTGGAGTAAAAGTACTCTCTTTACCTCTGAATTGTAGTGAAGTAGAAGAACAAAAAAGCAAAACAAATTGGAATACTCAAGTAAAGTACAAGCATCTCAAACGGGTACTTAAGTACAGCACTTAGTTACTTTACACCACTGGATTTCAAAGAGCCAAACGGTAAAGCGATACAAGTATTCAAAACATTTTAGGCGGGCCTTTCTTCAGGTGTCCAGAATAAGTTGTGCTGCTGCCTCCACATCAGAAAATCTCTCAGCCTCCGTGCTGATCCTGGGTCAGTCTTTGGCTTGTTGACCTTCATCACCTGTAGGTTGGGTTTTGACTTTATAAGGACGTCATGCAGCCCCACCACACAGAATCTAAAACTATCCCTTTAATATGTCATTAGATCTTGTATGAGATGTTTTTGCTGTGGCTCCACCTGACTCAGCAGCTGTCTGAAGCCAGGAGACATGTTCCTTATTTCTGGAAATTCTCTTATTTAAGAAAAGAATACTTACCTGCAGCGGATAATAATGCTGACTCAGATCGGACAGTTTCACAGTGTCAGTAAGGTATTTGCATGTATACAGGGAACGTGTCAAGTGTTGTCACATTTTGTACAGTACAATACAGCAGAGTGTGTACATAAATATATTTTTGAGATGTCACATCTCATAGATAGTTTAGTCTATTGGGACGGATTGATTTGACCTGGATGTCTTGTACTCTTTCTTTCTGTTTTCCTTTCAGCTGATTTTCTTCTTAGGATGGATTTTGTAATGCTTGTACTTGTTCTTTTTGCTGTTTTAAAAGGGGAAGGGCAGGGTTGAGCTTTTGGGGTTATTGTGATTGTCCTCTAGTGATGATTATGAATAAAAAAAAGAGTGAAAAACAATGAGTCATGCTGATAAATAGAGCACTCAGAGAACCAAATCAGCCACATTTGTTTTTATTGATTGTTTGAGATTTCAATTTAACGTTTCATTTGTTTCTTCACCTTGGGACTCACGATAAAGAGTGGAGGTAGTCTGTCATGGCCGCAGCACACCCTCATGAAAGAGTTAGCTGGAAACATGCCATGAAAATGGTCAGAGTGCATAAATCAGTCCTGAATGTGTGAGCAGATGTTCACTCTGCTGGGGAGAGAAACTCTTACCTCTGCAGCATCTGAATCATTGGACATGCTGTCTTTACTTAAACACATGTTGTTGTATGAAAAGGAATAGTTCAGTGTTTGAAGTGGGATTATATGAGGTTTACCTACTGTACAGTGGATGACAGGAGAACTACACGGAAGATAAGTAATGTACTGCTGTGGACGGATGCACCAGCAAAACCTTTATTATACACCTAAGAAATGACCGCCTAAAAACATTTGAACCGCCTAACTTTGGTGTGAGACAGCCCTTTACATGGGGGAACTAAACGCTTTATATTCCCAAGAGCCAAGGTCCTTAGTCTCCACTGTCAACACTGACATGTTACCGTCCTCCTTCTAATACTTGTTTGTGTTTGGGCAATTGTGTGACCTTGGTTATTTCAAAATAACTGGTTTTGTCAAGGGATTCAGTTTGCTTTGGAAAGAGCATAGAAAACGACACAGTTGGAAACATGGAAGGGTAAAGTGAGGTAAATATTGTAAAGAAAGTGCACCTTGAAAGATAATGATGAACTTAGCTGATCCCTGGAGAAGGAGCTCTTTCAAACCAACATTAAAACTTCCAAAACGATCCCTTTAGGTTTTATGGCTGTTTATTCGTCACGTATACAGTCCTGTTCAACCTGTAGTGTCCTCCACTTCTGACTATGCACATAAACGTAACACACAACAACTCTGTATATATACAAGAAAACAAATTGAGCTAAATAAAGTGGAGCAAACTAAAACAGATAAGACACACTTTACCTTATATTATGGGTGGGGGTATTTAACTGATGGATACTGATGCGATATATGCTTTTGTTCTTTTTAATCAGAATGTTTTTCCTATTGAGTCAAAACTGGCCTACTGTTGAAAACGGTTACCCAATGCTCATCTTACTTTATGTTTCAGCTAAACTAATAAACTCACAGTCGCTGCTAGAACATTGAATAGGGCAATACACTCCCATCAGAGAGCCACTCCCAGTTTGTACATGAAGACTGAGATAACTGCTCAAATGGAAGGATAAACATCCATTTCATATCTGTGTCGATCACAGAGCTGGAGTGGAGATGTGCTGATCTTAGTCAACACAGACACCAGAGACTTTCAAAGGAGACAATATGACATGATGTCACCATGGGGTGTCATAGCTAAAGACTACATTTCGATTCTACTTTCCTGTTCTGTAAATATTTGTGTTGTCTCCTTTAGTTATCTCTTCAGTTAAGTTTCTCTTTATTTAAATATTTTGAGGACTCAGCAGTGGTGGAAAAGTACTCAGATTATTTACTTGATTACAAGTACTAATACCACATTGTAAAAATCTAATCAAAATGAATGTACGAAATTGGCTTGCAAAATGTAGTAAAGTAGAAGTATAAAGTAGTATAAAAGGAAAATACTCTGGTTAAGGACAAGTACCTTAAATGTGTACTCAAGTGCACTACTTTAGTTAATGTACTTAGTTACTTTTCACCACTCGGACTCAGCCTATTTGTGTCTTCTTGTGCCTTCTTGAGATCCATGTTTTTAGGTGTCATTTGACCAACACTGCAGCAGATTCACCTTGAAAGCGACTGTATACATATATATATATATATATATATATATATATATATATATTTATATATGATATTATGTATGTCACAGCTGCTTCCTCTAAGCTGTACGTCCCGCTGCACCATCAGCCCTTTTAAATCAAGATTGGGCGTGTTATATCAGATATGGATGGAAATGAAATTCCCTTTTTATTGCTTTGTCCTCTAAGCACAACAGCAAACAACAACACACAGATGCAACCATGTCTTGTTTAACAATTTATTTCAGCATATAAAGCTCCACAAATATACAAATGTCAGAATATAGGACAGAATCAAGCAAGTGCAGAGGTGCAAGCAGCACAGGATCATGGTCAGGAAATGATCTGCGCTGAAAAAACTGAAACGTTGACTTTAATTAAATAATTTTGTATAACCACTTAATATTATTGCTTTCACCTAACCGCATGTGACATCTGTTGACATAATACATTTCATTTGAGTTGACATTTCAGTTTTCTCAGTGTGGGCTGAGAAAAGTCTGGTGAAGCACTCTGTACAGAATACATTGGTAATATTAACAAGTTTGTGACCTTTGAAATCTCTTTTTACTTTCACATTCTTGGATATTTAACAGTGAAGAATCCAGTCGCTCATTTACACTCAAAATAACTGTTATTGTGGAAGAATAGTGCATATTGAGTGGACTTATCCATGAGACATTCTGTGTGACTGCAATGAAGTTTCTGATCTGATATGCATAAAGGCTAATCTGATGTAAGATATGTAGCAAACATGGACATAAAGCAGGACAAAGAGAAAGACAAAAGCCTCCACAGTGAAGCTCGTAACAGTTGAAAGAGAACCAAATATACTGCATGAATCTGAGTAACAAAACTCAACGCTCATTGAAAATTAGCTGAGAAAATCTTCATAGAAATGAAAGAAAAAAGGCGCTTCAGAACGTGTAGAGGAAGTTTTCAGAAGAATCCACTATTTACATTGTAAAAATAACTAAAGCTAAATCTGTTTCGCCATAACTCTAATGGTGCCAATATACTCAAATATGAACAAATAATGTCTAAAAAACAAAGGGGCTCCAACTATTGAAACAGCAGGACCTGCCAGTGTGATAAGGTTGACTGGCTTGTATAACCTTGAACAAGGTTACATGTTGTAGTTTGTCGGCTGTTCGTTTGTTTGAAGCTTTGCCAGCAGAAAATACTGTGAACCGGTTCCAGTTTTTTCTGTCATCCTATTGGTTCCTGTAAATGCCTATATGTCAGCGTTAGCATGCTTTAATTGATCAGATTAGCAAAAAACATGTTAACTTCATTTTCACACAACACTACTCTCAACTGAAGAGGATAGAGTTCACACAGCTTATACCACAGAACAAAGTGAAGAATCAGCGAGTTGATAAACAGGTTAATATGGCTTTTAATATGACTGATTCCAGACAGGTTTTTAATCACTTCAAAGTGCAGTTATTGTTAAATCACCCCACCTTTCCTCAGAGAAATTAAAATTCATTCCCAAAGGAGAGAAGTTTCACAATGTTTCCCTGAAAGTGATGAAAACCACCATATGGCAATTGTTTTTAGTCTTAAAAGGAATCATTCAACTGTTACTGAAGAAACAGATGCTCTGGTAATCCGTAATTCATTATTTAATTATACATGAAAGGTGGAAAGATGTGAAGGCACCTGCACATTTTGTTGTGATATGGCCCCCCAAGTGAAGTCTTTTGTTTGCAGTGAATACAAATAGTCACAGTAGGTTACAGCAGTCAGCCAAAATAATATTTTAAAATATAAATATACACGTTTCTTTGATTCCCTGACATTTGTACTCAGTACATGGCTCAAACATTACAAACAGTAAGTACAATCTAAAGTACTAATTATTACAGTGACAATAAATCCATATTTTCTATCTCACAAGACCTCACTGGAAGCCGAACACAGGTCCTAGCAAACGTAATGCTACGTATGCTACATGCTAATGCTTCTGGAGTGCTTTAACAGACAGCAGCCTTTCAGGAAATCACAGCCTCTCTCTGTTGGCTCATGACAATCATTGGTTCTTTACAAACCTGTCTCTTCACAGGACGTTAGTCATACTCTTTGGACGTCTGCGGGACGACGACCTGCTTCTCCTTGAAGCAGCGCCTGAAGAAGGTGAGCACCGAGTTCAGCAGGTAGTGTTGGCTCCTGCTGGAGGCCATGCTGTGGCCTTCATCTGGGAAAATCTACGCAGCAGGAAAAACAAATAACTGTCAATTGTTCTTCTTCAATTTATTCAATTGTTTTTATTCTAAACGCCAGTGACAGTGACATCACACAGCAGTTTAATGCTTACGAATCCTTCATTTTGGAAATTCACTTTGTTTCTGAGAATAAGACACTATGCTAAATCTGTAATTGGTCAACCATCTCATTAGCTTAGCTGAGCTGTCCAAAGCAAGACCCAACCCCTAGGTCAAAAAATGGAAGCAACTATGAAAGGCCTTTAACCTGCATTTTCTCTGATGGCCAGCAGGGGGTGATCCACTAGTGGAATATAAAAACCTCAGATTATATAGAAGTCTATAAGACAATGTCACTACTTATTACTTGATTGATTACCACAGAAAACATTTTCCTGACAACTTAATGGTCTCAACTTCTAGTTTAAATCCTTTTCCAATTCAGCACAATGTTCATTTAGTAATATATGGTCCCATTTAGAGTACAATTAATGATAAAGAAGGATGTGTTTTAGGAAATGGCTTATATACTAACGGAGGTTGTTCGGTTTGGGTGTTATCCATGCTTTCGTTTGGAACTTTAACCCTTTCATTATGTGTTTTCACTTCATGAATGTTTAATGTAACATGTAAGTCTAAAAATGTGTTGGTATTTATAAATCAAGTTAGAGACGGAAAAACAAATACTTAGCTACATTTAGGGCTTTAAAAAGGTAGTACACACAGCAATGGAGGAAGGGACGGTGACTAGGTTCACTTCCTGTCCAAAGGGAATAACATCTAAAGTTCTTGACATAAAATATAAGGTCTATGTCTTGTTTGTTTAATCTTAACAAAAACAGATCAAAATGTTTCTTGGCCAAAAACAGTTGCCTGGCTACCAGCATAGACTACAGGAAGTGGCCTGTCGCAGTGTATGTTACCTTTGGACAGAGCCGGGCTGACTATATATTATTTCCTGACCCCAGTTTGTTTGCTTTGTTTAGCGAAGTGGCTGCAGTCTCCAAAAATATACTCCCTGTAAAAGCATGGGAATGCTATCGATCTTTACATCTAACTCAGAGTGAAACGGTCAGTATCAGGGAGAAGTGTCTGTGACATTTGTGAAAGTTCCACTCCAATATATGTTCAGATCTCTATTCTTGTTTTTTTTTGCAGATGTTTAAGGCGCCACATTTCTCAAAATGTTAAGTGTTGTCTGTACAATAACTAAATGAGTATAAAATGTTCAAACCAATAACACAACAGTACAGTGTCTCTTGTTCGTAACATGATGTCCCTCAGAGAAGAAAGCAGCAGTCACCTGGAGAGTGTAGTTCACATTTAACGCTGACAGCAGTTTGACCAGCTCAGCAGAATGCTGGAAATGAACGGTGGCTGGAAGAGACAGAAAACTGAAATAAGAATGTGACCAAGCATGACACAAAAGCTTCTCAGTCCATTACACTTCCACATTTGGGAGGTAAATGATAATGCATTGTTGGGCAAAACGTGCCCAGCTAATGTAATGTTACATTAGCTTTCCACATTCCACCAACCAATGCAAAGAAAGACCCTGATTGTACATAAACATGTTTCTGCATGTGCATTCCTAACAGTGATTAAAATACATATAGTAAGAGAAAACATACTAGGTATATTTTCTTAATTTCCAATACAGTGGCAGGAGGCCAAGAACAGTCATTTTTAAGATGCTGTTAGACACACATTGAATGCCACAAAACAAAAGTCCAGAGGCCTGTACTACGAAGCAGGATTTTCGCTTAGCGGGCTAACTTCAGGGAAAACTCGGGGTTTCCGGTCCTACGACGCTGGTTCTCTTTTTAGCGGGCTAGATCTCCATGGTAACTTATGCTGAGCGGCTAACCAGGGGCCTATACTACGAAGCAAGATTTCCGTTTAGCAAGCTAACTTCAGGGGTTTCCGGTCCTACGAAGCTGGTTCACTTTTTAGCGGGCTAGATCTCCACGGTAACTTATCCTGGAACCTAGTCTGCTCCGAAGCAGGATAGGTTCCAGGATAAGAGATCAACTCAGTGAAAGCACCGCCTGCTGACCAATCAGAGCTCAGTGTGCGGAGGAAATACAGTTTAAACTGCCGTTGCAGGAAAGACGGCCGGCCAAAATCACCGACTGTATGAACGTGAAAATGAATAGAATATCCCCTCCCATCTTCAGATCAATCTGACTATTAGCCTATAACTATTATACTATTATTATACTATTATGTTAAGAAAGCTTAATTAAATATCCGCCACAACATAAGTAACCGGATCAGAGTAACATTAAGTACAGTCCGCGGCACTGTGAGTGCAGACGTCGATGTGTCCCATTATCATTCATATCATATCACATCATAATGTATCATATATTTCCTTATCTGAGTCAGCTTCTTGAGCCGTATCTGGCCGTGCAACACTCACAGTGTCACATACTGTATGCAGAAGTATTATTTTAAGCAACACCTTAAGTTGACGAAGCACTCGAGTCAAATGTAATTAAAGTCAGATCCACTCGTGTCTTAGACGGGGCAGTGATATCATAAACCTGTTAATGTACGCATTCAAACGCTTTTTCTGTTACCAGCTGTATTCACCTTGCAGGTGCAGCTATGTGGCTTTTATCCTGGATAAAGTGTTTAAGTCAAGGATGTTTAAAGTTTAACTTCTTCATATGTCTAATATTAAAGTTCACTTTTCATTCAGGAAGTATGACGCTGCGCTGTCAGTACGCTTCTCCATGTTTGAGATTGGTCGAATGCTCCAAATACCACCCCTTTCATGTGAACGCGCACCTAACTAGATAGGACACGGCTGGCTTGAGCGATCGAGTTGATAGCCAGCGTCGTAGGACCGTTTAGCGAGAGCGGGTTTGTTTTGGATTAAGTCAACCAGATAACTCAAAACATATCCAGGATATGTTGAACTAGATTCGTAGTATACCCCCCAGGGGTTTATACTACGAATCATGATTTTCGTTTAGCGAGCTAACTTCAGGGATTTCCGGTCCTACGACGCTGGTTCACTTCTTAGTGGGCTAGATAACTTATGCTGAACGGCTAGCCTGCTCCGGAGCAGGATAGGTTCCAGGATAAGAGATCAATTGTGCGGAGTTCTTCTTCTTCTTCTTTGCTTTAATGGCGAATCGCTTCCACTTGGAGCATATATCGCCACCTCCTGTTGATTTATTTAATGTCCATGTTAAATCCTTTGTCCTCAGACCGTTTCAATAAGGATAAATCTATTACAGGTTGAGGTAGCAACCATGGTGGAACAGCTGATAACAACAGTGTGCAGAGTTTAAAACAATCAAGTCATATTACAGGATAAAGGAAATACAGTCGGCCAAAATCACCGACTGTGTGAACGTGAAAATGAATAGAATATCCCCTCCCATCTTCAGAGCAATCTGACTATTATAACATTAGCGTTGAGAAAGCTTACTTAAATATCTGCCACAACTTAAGTAACCGTATCAAAGTAACATTACGTAGCCTACAGTCCGTGGCACTGTGAGTGCAGACGTCGATGTGTCCCATTACAACACACTCTCACTCCCTAAGCGTCCAGGAGCGACGCTTGGTCAGGGTCCCGTGGCGTCCAGTTGGGACGCTCCTAGGCTCCTTCAGCTTCATAAACAGACGCAAAGAGCTTTCAACTGATTGCAATGTATTCCCATCGGCGTCGGTATTTGGCGCTCAGGGAAGCACGGCATTCGTTTGTGTCGGAGGCTGTTAAAGGCAATGTGAGCGTCCACTCCCATTGGATAACGGAGAATTGTACACCCGGAAGTAAGTATTCCCCTTACTGTCGATTGATTTGACAGTGATATCTCCACTACACATCAACTCAAAAACACCAGATTATCCTTGTTAATTAAACGACATTGATAGGTTTTAGTGTACAATGCTTTTGTCACGTTTTCCCCTTCAATTCTGAGAAACAAGTCGTTTTCTATGAGTTTTGGATGGCCGAAGACATTACATTACCCACAATCCTCTGTAGCAACCATAGACTGTATAAAAAAATTAAATAATACATTATTCCGAGTGTGCTTGCTTTTCTCTTTGAAAGTCATCACATAACGGCATTGTAATACACGTTTCGGCTGCATTAAATATGACATATCTGCCGTAGTTAACTCTATGTATAGAGCCCTGATGACAAGACTTCTAGACAAACAGGAACTGCCGCCAAAACTGAAAACTTGACGTGGATCTTAAATATATCAGCAATTAACATCTTACATTTCTTTTCACACAATACGTCTCCTTGCAGTATCAACACTAATTCGGCTGACTTTTATATTTGATCCAATGCTAGGCTGTATTTACGCCATAACGGTGCACAGCTGATAGAATGGGACACCTACTGGTTAAAGCACGTTATTGCACGTTATATATACATCCACCTATCTGCTGTATTGAACCTCACCATCTGCTGTGCCGTGGATGATCAGAAAGTTCAGAGGGCTCGATGCTGTGCTGTTTCTGAGCAGACTGGAGATCTGTGGGGACAGAGAACAGGACCGTGAGCCTCCTCTGACCAAACACTGTCTTAACAACATCCCATTTATTTACTCTAAGCAAACCTCAAGTTATGGTCTTATATTAAGGGGGTAAACAAAGAGTATCAGGTCAAATAATCTAATCTGTTAACAAGATCAGTTCCAGTACTGTGTAGAGCACATCAACTGACAAAGCAGGGGAATTCTTTATCAGTGGACAATGCATTTGAAACATACCATAACAACCACAGACAGACATCTCTGAACCACACCTTTTTCTGGTGTGACCCCAACCAAAAAGGTACAAATAAAATACTTGTCGACTTTAAATTCCAATTTCCAATTGTATTTGATAATAAAAAAACATGTTTTTCAAATCTAATTGAGAACATAGATTTATGTTGTTGGCATTATTTAAAGCTTAACGTTTAACACCCTTTGTAAGAAATCATTGAATGTGCTTTGAGGTTTGATATAGCAGACTACAATCCTCATACTACAATACCCATAAGTCTTAGCATGCTAAGGAAAATAAGTATATCAAAGGTGCTGTACTGTACAAATTGATACTTAAGTAAACTTCAGTTAACAGTTATTTTACTGTTGATAATTGATAATGCTTACTTATGAGGAATGTTAGAATTCATGTTTTTGTTATCCTTGGTTTGTATTCAGTTCAATTGTCATTTTTATGACTTTTCACCTTTAACATTTTATTGATGATGCTTATTACAACATTTTACTCGTTAACTAAATATTGATGTTGTTATTTATTGAGTTGGCCTTGTGTTTTCATTAGGGATGCTCCGATCGCCAATTTTGGGGCCGATCGCCGATCGCCGATCGCCAGAATCAGTATCTGCCGATACCGATCGCCGATCCGATCGAGTGGGCGGGGGCCTAAATGGAAGATTTAAACATCACTTTAAATCTTCCATTTAAAGTGATGTTTAAAACTCAGTTAATGGGGCTCATTCACTGGAGCTTCCACAAACAACAATCAACTTAATTATTACATTCAAATTATGTATATTATTCAAGTTTACATTCACTTTGGATAATAACACGGGAGAAATGAGCAAGCGCTCTCTTTTCCTCTCTCTCCCTCTCTCTCTCCCCCTCTCTCTCCCCCGCTCTCCCTCTCCTGACAGCCCGTCAGTATCGTCTCATGCAGCTCGCTGATCCAGTAATGTGTGAGGCCGACAGTGAAGAATAAACATATTTATAACTAGTTTAGCTAGTTCCAGAGGTAGATCAAATAGCTAAGTGTGTTAGGTCTAACTCTTGTGTGTTTCGCTCCGCTCACCGGTCCGTCACAGCGGGTGGAGCTGCAGGATTTCTGCTTCACACACACGTTGCATACCGCTATTTTACTGTCTTTTTCGGACACCTTAAAATAATGCCAGACCGGTGAAGCCATTTTGGCGAGCTTGTTTTGCCGCGCACAGAGAAAAGTGTCATGTATTTTACGTGATGCGATCGGCCCTCGCGATCGGCATGTTTAGAGAGCACCGATCGATCGGTAGAGAGTGAGTATCGGCAGATCTCGATCGGTGACCGATCGATCGGAGCATCCCTAGTTTTCATACTACATAAGGTGACCATTACTGTGTGTTCTGATCACTGTGTTACAACAATATAACCAGAGATACTGCACAACATTTCCTGATCCTGGTAATATAGTTCAAAATAAGTCTTTCCAGCTGATTACAAGATCTAATGTATCTAAATATCCCATCTTCTTTCGAGAAATCTTAAGAAGCAAATGTTCACTTGTCCTACGGGCAGATTTCTTTATTTATTACAAGTGAAAACACCTCGTTTTCATAATGTTTTTAACTTTTTGAGCAGCATTTTCCAGGGAGAAAGCTGTTTTTGCCTGCATCTGTCCCTTCAGATGAGACTCTTTGGAACCTTGTATTATAGAAGCCTCGGAAGCCCTCGCTCGTCCTGCAGGGTTGTCTGCTAGAGCCCACCGAGCAGAAAGATGAACAGAAGCATCCCCTCTTAGCAGAAAGGTGAAGAGAAGCATCCCATCTTATCAGAAAGTTGAAGAGTAGAATCCTCTCTCAGCAGAAAGGTGAAGAATATAATCCTCTCATGAGGCGCTTTCACACCGGAGTACTTTTCCCTTTTAGTTCCGATAGTTCCTGGGATTTTGCGTTCACACCAAAAAGAGTACTTAGTTCATGAGAACTTTTCCCCCCTTTTCAGTCCCTGCTAGAGAGCAGGTACTTTCCTAGGGAGAAAGAAGTTCCAATTTCTGATTGGCTGGGTGAATTGCAAACCACGCCCCGTAAAACCCTGAAAAGTTTTGTGAAGCCGCCATTGTATTTGCTGGCATTAGCATTATTAGCATTAGCATTAGCCCAGCGCACCAACGGAGAGAGACTAACTTATGGCAACAAAAAAAAAAACATGGGAGCGGTGGAGATGAGGAGGTGTCGGCGTTCTGGCGATTTACTCGGAAGGCTTCAGTAGAAGCTGCAGTCCCCAACTCCGGGGACTTCCGGTCGGGGACTACGGGTGGCAGTATACGCCGTGAAGTTGTTTGCGGCCTGCCAGTAAACCCAAAGCAGAAGAAGAAGAAGTGACGTCAGCGGCTTCATTTGCGTAATTTTCCTTCAGGGACTTATTCCGGTGTGAATGCGATCTGCTCTTTAGTTCCATGGGGGAACTAAGTGCTGGGAACTAAGTACGGCAAAGTACTTGGTGTGAAAGCGACCTGTTCCAGAGGCATGATACAGGAAATGTGAGTGTCTGAGAGGAGAAAGAACACCACTCTGCAAGGTTCACTCCCCCCTCTCTGCACAATACCCCTCATATGAATGAAAATAACAGGTGTGCATGAAATCGCTCCAGACCCCCTGCTTTGTGCTGGTCTCACACATTATATCATCTCCTGCGTCTCATTTACATGTTGAATGCTATGATAAAGTGTTTACACCAGTCTAGTTTGCATTCAGATGTTGGGAGTACATTGTGTGAGTTCTGAACACGTCCCATTCAAGCAGAGAGAAGAATGAATAGATGAATGCATTCTATCTGTTTACTCGACATGAAGCACTTATGCTTTTGTGGAAATAGTAGCACGTTCTTACTTGGTATTTGTGATCGTCTCTCGCTGGGAAGCCAAAGTATTTCTCAGTGTGGGCCGACCCTTTATGAAAAGAAAACGGACACATTGTGAGCAGTGCTGTTGTAATTCCTTCACTATACCTTCACTCCATGTCAACAGCAGTATCTATCCTTGCACCAACCCCAGTCTCTACTAAGCAGACTTCTTCTCACTTTGATTATACATTTATTTGTGATACATTTCAAACAAACATTAACAGGGAGAAAATATGTATTCCCTTGAAACATGGATTCAGCAACGTGTTGTAATCTTTGTTAAACTGTAAGGAGGTCTGATATACCGTAGAGTCTCCAGTTGGTGATGGGAGCCACAGCGATGCCACACTGGAACATGGAGCTGTGTGAGAGGAGCAGGAGGGAGGACAGATACCCTCCGTACGCCTGGAGCAAACACAAGACAGCTGCTTTAACAAAGAAACATCATACATTGTATGTGGTTATTTAGCAATTAGATAGAAAGGTAGTGTTACCTTTCCATATACTCCAACTCTGTTGCGATCGATATAGGGAAGTCTGACCAAGTGCCTACAAATGTTGAGAGGGTTAACTACATAGCAAAGATAAAGAGAACAATTCCTAATGAGACCACATAGTAAAAGATTGTCCTTGGCTTTACAAATTCATCTGAATCATAGTACATAGTATGCCAAAGAAGTGTCTTCCTTCTAAATATTGAGATGTTCATTAACCTTTTAATTAACATGTCCTGTTAAAGCTCAAATAAAGTTCTAAAATGAAAGTTATGTAGATGTCCAGGAACTTTGCCTGACCATCATTCTGATGCCATTCCTGGAGGTTCAAACAACCTCGATATATGTTGTTACAGTCAATGGACCTATTTGTCTATTTTTTAAGATTTGTTTACACAATTTGCATTTACCAGCTTAAAAGATAATGAAAACTGAAAGTGAGTAATTTGTCAGTTAAAGAAGCCTGATACAAACAGTCATATTAACAATTTGATTCACATAGGGCAGAAAGCTCTATAGTCCGGGAGCCAAAGCCCGATTTTTGGATGAACCTTGTTTCGTCTGATAAAGTTGTTTTTTCTGCTGTTTCTTGTAGCTTGGAGGACCTCTTTAAAATACAGGAGGGTGCCCGGTGATATCCCTTGAGCATTTTCGGATATTGACCCCTACATGGCCAAAACGCCAAAATCCCAGAAAAATCAGGATTTATGAGATTTCATGCAATAATATTGAAATATATTCAAATCAAATGCATCACATTTGCCTTCCCCAATGTTTACATTCATACAGTGCCTTGTATTCTAAATTATTTAATATTAACCCTTTCAAGCTGACCCAGCAAAACATACTTTTGTAGTGCAGTGAATTATGCAAAGACAATGCGTGGCGTTTATTACCAACAACAAAAAGGAAAGGCAAGCAGATTGTTGGATAACACTTTGCTCATTATCATATAGAAATGACACATTACAAATATTGCTGATGATCATCTAGTCTTAGGATCTTGAGCATCCCACCCTGAAACATGCACAGAACATTGTGCATGGCAAACCATGCACTTTACAACTGCAATGATTGGAGTTGCAAGGGGTCTCACTCTTGCAGCCACACCTGATCATCTCCAAAATGTAATCTGGGACAAGTTTGGCATCTTCTGGTAGATGGGTTGGGATCAGTGACCTGTTACACGTATCTTTTTTTCATCCAAATTCCTCTGGGTTCAGTGCTGGCAGCAGGTTTACATTGAGATTTCACCACAACATTGCCTGAAAGTGGGCCCTCTTAGCATTCTCAATGAAGGCTTCATTTGTTGGTGCAGCAGCAAGGTTTGGAGCAGACATAAGTCCTTTTCCATTCTTTCCCCCCCAGACAAGTAGCCATAACAGGCTGAGATGAAGGCAGTGGCTTGGTCGAGGACTTGCTGGAATGGTGCATCCATGTTGCCAATGGCTGATAGTTGGTACCCAGCTTTCAGGACTTTGATGACAGAGCCTTTTCCCAACCCATAGTAAGATGCTACAGTGTCACATCCCGATATGGTATGGGCTGGTAAAAGGTTGTCGACAATTTCTGCATTTCATTTGAGAATGTTGCATGCAATCTCATAAATCCTTATTTTTCAGGGATTTGGGAATTTTGGGCATAAAGGGGTTAATATCCGAAAATGCTCAAGGGATATCACCGGGCACCCTCTTGGATTTTGAAGAGGTACCCCCAAGCTACAAGAAACAGCAGAGAAAAAAACGTTATCAGATGAAACAAGGTTCAACCCCACGGCTCCCGGACTACTATGGAAACAGGCTAAAATGCTGTGTTTCATATTTTTATCCTTTTATCCATGTCTTTATACATGCTCTTACAAACCCAAAAAACGTACCATTACACAACTAAAAAGCAACAAAATGAAGGTGACGGCTTTGTTTCCAAAGTTTTAAATGTCTGAGAACTACGGTGGCCTTCAAGCAACGTAAAAACATGAAAGATCCTCTCTAGAGTTTGGTTTATTCCTTCTGATTTTGTTATTCTTACCATTATTATGTTATTTTTATCTTCATTTTCCTTTTTATTTATATATTTATTAATCTTTGTTCAGTCCTTGTGCTTTGGCAAACATTTCCCTCCAGGACTCAATAAGGGCTGATCATATATGAAATACTAGGTATCAGTTTGGACTTCACTAAGCATCTTACAACCTTATCCACAGTTTAAGGAGCAGGTGTAAGAGAAATCTATAAGTACAATTTCGAAAGACCCCAAATCAGGCTGCTATGTGTGAGCAGATCTAACAATCAAGCCAACCTAGAGACATCAAGTGTAACTGTTGAGATACCTGATACTGAAACCTGACAAAGGACCATTGGATGTTTGGTATAATGATCTACCAACATGCAACCTACTGTAGAAGTCATTCTGTTTTACAGTTGAGCAACTTGTCCCCAGAAGTTAGTTCATTGCAAGTGGAACCCTAGGCCAACCAGGGACCTTTAGATATTTGTTCTAATGATCAACCAACTCAGAACCTATTATCAAGTATAAAGATTGAGCTACTTGTTCCCTAAAGTAGAGGACCGGCTGCCAAAACCCAGGATTGAACCAGGGTCCTTTAGATCTTCAGTCTAACCAATTGAGCTATGTTGGCACAAAATGCTACAATATGGTGGACTACAGGAAAAAAATCAAGCAACCTAAAAATATCAGAGTTTACAGAACGTACAACTTCTGCTTAAGTGACCACAGCCACAGCTTACTCCAGAGCTGTGATCTGGTCCTGGACATCCACAGTCCCCAGCCTCTGGTGGACCTCGTGCAGGACCCTCTGACCCTGGAAGCCGCTGCCCCGGCCGTCCAGACGAGCCACGATGACGCTGTCTGAGCTGACCAGCACTGAGTCCCAGCCCAGAGAGAAGCGCTCGCTCACCGCCTGGCCACCGGGGGCGCTGTCACTGTGGAGGACATGGATACTGTTTTTCTTTACCCCAATAATTCATAACAATCTTAATTTAATACATGATTCACATTAATCTGCATTATTTAACGATGAATTTAAAATGACATACACAATCAGCAGAAGTGGATGCTCCATGGATTCATCCAAAGCTATTGGGACAATTAACTCCAGACGAAGGGCTGCAAAACACAATTTCATGGTTTTAATATCATGTCATGTGCACTGTCGACTTTAACAGTTGAAACTGCTTTAAGTGAACCACAGATCAGCGGCACACATTTATCAAAATGCTGTGGACAAATCCTACAAGAGAATAGAATATTTTGCTTATTGTATTGTATAGTGTTGATGCTGGGTTTGTCATTGGGGAATTTCAATTTTTCTCGTTGAATTTTGTCATAGACATCTAAGTGTATATTCAGGACTGGTAAAATAAAATAAAAATGCAATGAAACTACTTAGGAGCTTATTTTAATAAACTGACATTACTGCACTAAACACATTTTGTTTAGGCTGTAGCTTAATTCTTTTTTTAATTCAAATTTTTTACTGTTTATTTTACAGTACTGTGTTGTATTACAGTGTTTTTGAATTAGACATATTACAGTAATCTCACTTCTGTAGTAACTTGAGAAAGATTTGGTTAAACATGTTGTAAAAAGCGAAATAATTCATTTCATCACTATGTAATAAATATACAAGTGGATGGCTGTGATAAATAAACCTTGGTAAAAAAATGGATTACAATAATCCTCGACTTATAGTGATCATACAGTCATGATCAGTGTAAGAGGTTTCCACTGTTTAACATATAACACATGTTTAACTCATAGCTTAACATTCAGTTAAGAGGAATATTCTATAATGAAGACGAGTCACATGTGAATGTTGATATGGACTTCAGGTTATTGGCCACAGTGATGTGAGAGCCGGAGAAATAAAGAGGCAGTCAGGGTGTGTGAGGTGTTAACTGGTGTGAACCAGCGCAGCAGGGAGGTCCGTACAGCACCGTCAGCTGAGGATAAGTGAGCGTGTCACATATCAGAGAGCACAGGACTGAAGACGTGAAGAAGCCAGTAAATGAGTGCTTTGTCCTCAGGCCAACACTATTGCAAGAGCACCATGACCTGAATGAGAAATATTATACAGGTGATATAACTATGGACAGGGTTGGGAGGGTTACTTTGTAAATGTAATTAGTGCCTGAATACTGAATACATGGCTCTGAAAGTAATCCGAATCCGAATACAGTTACGTGTCTTAAAAAGGTAACGTATTCAGATACAGAATACTTTTGGAATACTTTCTTTTTCCATAACAGATGGGTATGTTTTGGTGTACAGGAGACACTTATTTTACTATTTTAATGGCTTATCAAGAGCACAACTCAAACACAACATCTTGGTGTCATTCTGGACAGCTCCCTCTCATTTGCACCCCACATAAAAAACATCACCCGGACTGCATTCTTCTCCAGACTCCTGTCTCAATCCAGCACTGAAGTCCTGGTTCATGCATTCGTCACATCCCGTATTGACTATTGTAATACCATGCTCTCAGGCCTTCCCATCAAACTCCTCAATAAACTTCAAATCATTAAGAACTCTGCTGCCCGAATCATCACCCGCACCAAGTCCTCTGACCACATCACCCCCATCCTCATCCGTCTGCATTGGCTACCTGTAAAATACCGGATAGACTTCAAAAAGACTTGTACTGCACTATTCCACATCATCACTTTATTATAACTATTTTTCTTTTTGTATTGCTCTTGCTCTTATTGTTATTATGTTATTATGTTGCATTGTTGGAGAAGCCTGTGACATAAGATTTTCAACTACATAATTACTCTGTAGCTATGTCAGATTGACAATAAAGAACCTTGAACCTTGAAACCGTCCTGCTCACATTCAAACCCCTCCACAACCTGGCCCCCACCTGTCTGGCTGACCTCCTACCCCCTCTCGCTCCCTCCGCTTCTCCTCTGCTGGCCTGCTAACTGTCCCGACCCCCCGCCTAGTCACAATGGGGGCTCTGGCTTTTAGCTGCTCCCATGGAACTCTCTCCCCCTTCACATCCGACAGTCTGACACACCACATTCACGTCACTCCTCAAAACCCACCTGTTCAGATCAGCCTACTCACTGTAGTGCTATGTCTCCTGTTTCCCAACATGTTCCCTGTTATAGTCCTTTTGTACCGTCTTAAACCTTTCCTTAGAATATGTTATGAATTGTAAGGTGTCCTTGGGTGCTTTGAAAGGCGCCTCTAAATATAATGAATTATTATTCATTATTATTATTAGTATTATTATTATCTGAAACGTTGTAATAACTTTTAAAACTTTTTCCAGTCACTTGCCCCATGCATTCAGCAGCAGCAGGCCATTCACTTTGACTTTATCCCGTTATGAACAACCTGGTCTCACCAGAATGCGTGACTCCACCACGACTCCTTAACACCGCAGTGCGTGGTGGAGTCACGCACTTTGCTACATTTACGTGTCTGCACCACGCAAACAACCCCAATGTAAAGTGAATGAGGCTCCTTTGTCGTGGTGCACACACGCATTTCTACAACGTCCCGCAGTGAGCTTTTATTCTATAAAACGTTTTTAAAATCTACTTTAAAGCTTGTAGTAACTCACGGGAGGCTTCTTTTATTTTATTTGTATTCATAATCATTTTTATTTTTCGTCAGAATGTATTATGGTGCATTAGTTACGAATTTTTGTTCTCAAAAAACAGTGCATTGTGTGTAATACAACTGTGATTTTTATTAAATTAGTTCGTTTTTAAGGAAGGCCAGAGCTTCAGCTGTGTAAAATAGATTGTTCCCTTTACTTAACGTTATTTAAAAGATAATTATATTCCTATTTGATCATGTCCCCTTTATTGTATTACGGACACAGAGAGCAATGTGAGCGTCCATTCCCATTGGATAACGGAGGATTTTACACCCGGAAGTAAGTATTCTCCTTACTGTCGATTGATTTTACAGTGATATCAGCACTACTCATCAACTCAAAAACACCAGATTATCCTTGTTAATTACACAACATTGATTGGTTTAAATTGTGTGCAATGCTTTTGTAATTTTCCCCTTCGATTCGGAGAAACAAATATGTGTTCAGAGTTTAGGATGGCCGAAGACACTACACTACCCAGAATCCTCAGCTATTGTTCCGCTTTGCCTCAAGCTACTCTTTGAAAGTCATCACATGAATGCATTGTAATGAATGGTTTGGCTGCATTAAACATTACACATCTGTCGTAGTTCTTTATTTATCTACAGAGATCGGGCCTCAGAATAGACCGGAAACTATTCTTTTACCGTTCGGTTTTAATTTCACAATTTTTTGATATTATTGTTTTTTATTAACTACTAGACCGCTGGGTCATGTTAAGACCATCTTTTCTGTGTTGCTGTGGGTTTTTTTACATCGCTTTTGTGTTACAAATATCAAAACAATAACAGAATATATCCGTCGTAAACTAAACCAGAAACAGCAGTATATTTTATTTTGTTAACACTGTAAACTTGACAGCTTTTTAACCCGCACCTCCTACTGGTTAAAGCACGTTATTACACGTGTAGAGTAATTGCAATGCAGGTAGATTGTGTTGCTTTTTAATGACTGTTTTAAAATGCCTTTTTCTTAATGTCTTTCATTTTTGTAAAGCACTTTTGAATGTGTTATATTTGATGAAAACATTTAAATATTAAGAGTACATACTCTTAATATAGTGGGAAAGTGGAAGGTCAATGATAGAAATAATATAGAATAGAAAATATCAAGAAGATACTGTAAGTGATCTCTACAATAAAACAGTTTAGTGCCTGATAGGAGGATGTGCAAAACAGACAAACTAATAAGGCTTTATTTAAACATTAAAGAATACTTTAGGTTAAGGTCTTCTTTTAAATAAGAAAAAAGCTTTGGGGGTATCTACAGATATTAAGCCTGACAAAGTACTTAACGTCTAATATATTGCATGGTTTGTTTTGGAACTTGACAATCAACTTTCCTGCAATGTTAACTATGTTGAAGCACTTATTTTAACTGATATTATACATATTAATTATACTCTTATAAGATGTATGTAGATAGTATAAGAAATGTGCAGAATATGTTTAATGGTGGAGGTACACAGATATCGATAGATGTCTTGTAATGCACTGTTGAGGAACCTGTGACCCAAGTTTTTCATGCATTGCATAACTACACTGTAGTTGTGTATATGATATGTCAATGAACCTTAGAAAATCTTGAAATCTTGAAAGGGATGTGCAAAATAGCCATTATATACAGTTTTCAATTAACTATTAGTAGAGAATAACGAGTAATGAATATACTTTATAGGGATCTGCAGATAAATATTTAGCCTTCTCAAGCACCCACTACCAAATATCTCCTGATTGTTGGCACTTGACAATCACCTTCACTGAATTTTACTCAGGTGTAACTAAAGTCTGATTTAAGGGTTGTTTATATTTCACATCATTAATCCAAATCTGTAAAGTAACTAAAATAAATGTAGTGGAGTAAAAATACCAGGTTAACCTTAAAGAAAGCCCTCAGGGTTATAAAAGACCCCCATCACCCCAGCCACAAACTGTTCTGTCTGCTGCCGTCTGGCAGGCGGTACCGCAGCATCCGGACTAAAACCACCAGACTCAGGGACAGCTTCATCCCACAGGCCATAAGACTATTAAACACCTGAACTTTGAAACAACATCCATAACATTCATCTGGCTGCTACTTAGAAATTATTTATCTAATATATCATATTCCAATCACTTGTATATAGACTCCTATTGCACTATTTCACTTTTTACTATTTTACTATTTTTCTTTTTGTATTTACTGCACTATTTTTTCTGTGTATCTGTTTTATTGTGTTGCACTGTTGGAGGAGCCTGTGACCTAAGGGGGGGGGGGGGGGGGTAGGACACGTTCTAAGCACATGGTGTAGTCCCATAGCTGAGGATTCTGGGTAGTGTAGTGTCTTCTGCCATCCACACACTATGAACAAATATTTGTTTCTCCGAATCGAAAGGGGAAAATACAAAAGCATTGCACACAATTTAAACCAATCAATGTTGTGTAATTAACAAGGATAATCTGGTGTTTTTGAGTCGATGAGTAGTGCAGATATCACTGTAAATAAAATCAATCGACAGTAAGGAGAATACTTACTTCCGGGTGTAAAATCCTCCGTTATCCAATGGGAATGGACGCTCATCGCTCTTTGGGTCCATAATACAATAAAGGGGACATGATCAAATAGGAATATAATTATCTTTTAAATAACGTTAACTAAAGGGAACAATCTATTTGACACAGCTGAAGCTCTGGCCTTCCTTAAAAACGAACTAATTTAATAAAAATCACAGTTGTATTACACACAATGCACTGTGTTTGGTAAATAATGGTAAATAAATGCACCATAATACATTCTGACGAAAAATAAAAATGATTATGAATACAAATAAAATAAAAGAAGCCTCCCGTGAGTTACTACAAGCTATAAAGTAGATTTTAAAAACGTTTTATAGAATAAAAGCTCACTGCGGGACATTGTAGAAATGCGTGTGTGCACCACGACAAAGGAGCCTCATTCACTTTACATTGGGGTTGTTTGCGTGGTGCAGACACGTAAATGTAGCAAAGTTCGTGACTCCACCACGCACTGCGGTGTTAAGGAGTCGTGGTGGAGTCACGCATTCTGGTGAGACCAGGTTGGTTATGAAATGTCATCATTTCAACAATAAAGAAATGCTACATAAACGTTATCTTGAACATTTTATCGAACCATCTCCGTTTCTAACTAAGAGATCTCTCTCTCTCATCTGCGTGGCCTCACAGACACGCTGCATCAATATATTGACTTACTATCTCAATATATTGACTTAGCTATCTTAATATATTGACTTACTATCTCAATATATTGACTTACTATCTCAATATATTGACTTAGCTATCTCAATATATTGACTTACTATCTCAATATATTGACTTACTATCTCAATATATTGACTTACTATCTCAATATATTGACTTAGCTATCTCAATATATTGACTTACTATCTCAATATATTGACTTACTATCTCAATATATTGACTTACTATCTCAATATATTGACTTAGAGTTTTTCCTCAATAACCCTCTAATTAGTCCTTAGTTATTGCAAGTAAGGAAGTTGTTGTACATGAGCTTTGGTCTTAATATGCTCTCCTCAATATGTCAAAATTAGGTATTTCTATCTAAGAACATCTTCCCTATTCTAAAGTGAAGTCTTGTTCATAACCAATAAGCTAGTAGTTTGACTAAGTATTCTAAAGTTGCCTCCTCTTCACACTTTGTAAATACATTATAGCACACAACTACTGAAATTAACCTCAACAGCACATGAACAAAGTAGGCTCACGTTGAAATGTCTGTTTTATTAATGAACCACTAAAGAGAGGTTCAGACACATACCAAAACATGTCAAGTTTCTCCAAGGCTGAGAACACATATGCAGCCTGTACTTTTTAATAGAAACTGATTTTTAACAGAGTTTATGTATTTATGATCATACTGTGTGACCTGCTTGTATGTACTTACACAACAGGTGTACTGTTCTCTCTATGTGTTACTGTCTCATAGATTAAACAGCCAGCCAAACTCTTTTGAGAGCCAGGGAATGAGCAGCCATGCTCCTTTATTGACTTATTTGCAGTCCACTGACATTCAAACGGAGTGAAACTATAAAAAAATAAGTTACAAGGCACTTAATGATCTCATACATGCAAGTGTAACATACACAGATTACTTGTAGAATATGGTCATGTAGAATCAGGCATTAATACGTGTTTTATAATGACTAATAAAGAGCCATTATACTGCTAATATGCATGTTAATTAACAACTAGTTGATGGTGAATTTGTGTACCTTAATATGAAGTTGTACCGCTTATATGATGAACATTGATGTCTATGTGCCTTATTCTGTATTTGACATAATTGTTTCAATGCAAAAATATATATATAACTCAATATATTGAGATAGCTAAGTCAATATATTGACTTACAGGATTTATTTTTATTTTTTCCTGTGGCGCAAACAGGCTTCCATAGAATACAGTTACTTGATTTTTATATTCTGATTACGTAACGTCGTTACATTTCGTTACAACCCAACCCTGACTATGGATGTATACAGAGAAAAGGCAGGGCCTTGTTCATTGATATCAAAGTTGCTCAGTGGAGCATAATTTTTTTGCCCAATGATGTCACAAACTGACACAGAAGTGTTGTACCACCGTTTGGCCACTAGTCAAATTTGCTTCAACACCTGACTCACTTCCTGGAGCTGGGATTGAACCCCCACAGTACTCCTGAAAAGAACATGGTTGTTGATGGGAAACAGGCCTGTCTGAGTTTTAATGACAGGACTCCCAGGTGACTGTGTTTCTACTCAAAAGGCCTTTAATCTGTTTTACATTGTCTCTAATTGTGAACACAGATTGGAGAAAGGAAGCCATATGGCAAACTGTCCCCTCTAATTGAAACAATATATGGCTGCCTTTCTGATTCCAGGTCTGTTTCATAATCATCTCAAAGAGCTGCACCTGTTAGCTCTGTGCTGTGTATCCGGATCTGCATATCTGACGTACTGTATAGATGTGACTGATCCTGATTGTCCCGATGATGGGCGGGTACTGTCCTGCAAACTATTACTGTCACCAGCAAGTCAACGGGTTCTAGTTCGCTCAGTACCATGTTAAAAAGAAACTAAGGTTTCATTGGTGGAGGACTGGAAAAACCTAATTTCCAAGGTAGATTATTTCCTGCAAGGCTGATATCTTGGCCACATATTTGTTCCAAAAATGTGTTTTTTTTTTTACATGTACTGTACACTTGTGGATAGCAAATACAAAAAAGATATTTAGGTGATTACATTTTATATTTCTCTAAAACATGTTTGCTGAATTGGAGTTCAATTTTAACTGAGTACCAACACAGTCAAAAAGTCTCAAGCAGCTTAGTTATGTACTAATATGTCTTTATTTGCTGCCGCTGACCTTGTGACTAGTCAGTATTGCAGGGGACAAAGGACCAAGGACTGTAAACTTGACAGATAATAGAAGATGTTAAATACTTTAGGTGGAGCACTTTGCTTGGGATTGCTGTGTACGTTCCCATTTTAGCCAAAATATAGTGACTGTGCTCAGTGCAGACTCTAGAGTCTGTGGGGGCCCTAGGCAAACATTCACTGGGGGCCCCTCGAACCAGCTTCTCATCACCACGCACAGCCCCCGGAGCGGAGCAAGGCAACGAAATTTAAGATAAGAAGCAGCATTTTACGGCGCGCTATGCATGGGGCCGCCTTGAGGGGGTTTCCCGACATGTCGTTGCAGTAAATTAAAGGGTGTTTCATGTTATCGTTGCTGTGGACCTTCTTAATCTACCTTCTTTGGGGGCCAACTTCTGGTCCTGGGCCCCAAGCAGTTGCCTGCCTTGCCTGTCCGCAAGCGGCGGCCCTGACTGTGCTCAGAACGATAGCTCATCACAGTAATGTGATCTTCTTGACCTGTTTTAACGCCTTGAGTTACATTGACAGATAAAGTCACTTATGCCAATACTCTTTTTTCTGAAGGGGATGTGCATAATGCTGTCACGACACGACACCTGTCATTAACATGCACGAGTCAGCATGGATGTTTATCACTGTTGTCATTAATTGTCATTTGATACATTTTGAGGTCCTGCTAAATGAAGAGTAATCATTATGTAATGCTATATCTAGCCGTTATATGATGGGTTGCAATACTGAATTTTAACATAAAGTTGGTTCTTCAGAGCCCATTTTATAACTCTGTAATGTAAAAAAGAATAAAGATAACAACGAGTTGGATGATACGTGGTGATAGTGGTGGTAATAATGATAACATGAAGCAAGGTAAATAATAAAATAAACATATTAAAGTCTTGCACATTGTTAAATATGATTGCAATGTCATACCAAAGTTGTTGATTTGTACAATTCTTCTTTCCCACTTTGGCATTCTCCTGTTTTTGAGAGCAAGTCTTAGCACCGTGTTGGCCTCAACAGTCTTGTGCTCTGTGAAAAAAAGGGCCAGAATTATAACTACTTTAGTTTGAAGAAAACTGGAAGCTGCAACACTAACAATGGAGAGTTCTGAATCACTTATTCATTTCATTTCCTGCTAGCCTATAAGCTGTTGAGAAATGATGAAAACATGTATATGTCAAACATACTTACAATCAGCTAGACAAGAAACTGTTAGACAAATGTAAAGTACAAATCAGCATAGAAACTAAAGATGTGATATGATGAGAATACAAAAAGTAACTTCCAATGGTGAGCCTGTGTGAGTGGGGGAAGGGTTGGGGTCATAAGTACTGTAAACATCTTCTGTTGATTTAGCGCTTTATCTCAGCTGATTTTAGTCACTCAATTTCCCAACATTTGATTAATTCTCTTTTTTGGCATACTGGCAAACATTTGCATCTATAATACATAACTATACCTGATGCAATTTGGTAAAATAACTAAACAGTAAATAGGTTCTTAGTACTGAGTACTTACTGGTCATATCACTCAGTCTGTGAAAAGTAGTTCTGGGTATTCCAGGACCTGGAGGGAAAAAATGAAACTGTATCACATATTTTATCAAAGATGTTAAGTGTTTCTGAGACAGTGAAACTGAACAAATAAAAAATAAGAACATATCATAAATTGATGAGGCAATAGGCTGCAGATTGTACATTTTTATGTAATTATAGTTTTCTGTTAGAACTCTTATATGTGAGATAAAGACAGAAGAGATATTTTGTTAAAATAATATTTCAGCCTGCATGAATAAATACATGTGATACACCGAGTCAACTTAGCAAACATGATGAATGGAGAACACTCATACAGAACATAATAAAGGTACAAAGAGTATTTACTAATGATTTAACCTTTGTGTATTCACATCTTCCACTGCACTGTAACTTGTATTCATGTACCTGTGTTATTCATGTTTTATTATCTTAGCTTTTTAATGTTTATAATGTGTTTTATGCTTTTAATGTCTTTCATTTTTATATAGCACTTTGAAGTGCAATATAAAAGGGCCTTGCCTTTGTGACAAAATGACCAATGTGAGTGTGTTAAAAGTGAACCAAAGTAGAAGCTGCTGTGAGTTAGTGTCACACAGTGATGATGTCACAGCCGGTCACAGTGGTACCTCTGCCGTTCAGCAGGACGTTCTGATACTGAGGGCTGATGGAGGCGTCGTAGTACGAGCACTTTGATTTGAAGAGAGCGCAGGAGAGGCACTCTTTATGAAACGGGTCCACAGTGGAGACTCTGTGAGGATGAGAGAAGCTGATTGAAATCTTCTCACACAATGGGAGGCGTGTGGCGCAGTGGGTTAATGCGCTGATCATCGAATCAGAGGATAGCAAGTTTGAGTCCCACTGCAGTCAGCATGTCGTTGTGTCCCTGAGACACTTCACCCCAAATTGCTCCTGTGGGGATTGCCCACAGTATTGAGTATGTAAGTCGCTTTGGATAAAAGCGTCTAACAAGTAACATATAAAAAAACAAAACAATCAGTTTCTAACCGGCAGGATAAGACAAACTCAATGAAAATGTGTTTTTAATTTATGGAATTTAAGTATACATGATGCTAGGAGAGACATCCTGTGTCTGTATACGTGAAACAGACATAACAACATATTTACATAATATTCTCTGCATACTGTCATTTTCTAATGGTTGAGAGTTGGCTGTTGCTGATTGGATTAAATCAGTTCCTTAAACCCTCTTCCTCCGTGGCTTAATAGCAGCTTTATCGCCCCCAGCTGTTTATCTTTATGGACCAACTCCTCATATTCACGTAACAGGAGTTCATGGAAATGCATATTATTTATTTTCTTTTGCAGATTTACAAAAATAGTTCTTAAATGTGCGCTTCAATCAGATGGAAACTAGTCTATAAAACTCACTTGTTAGGGCAAAACAAAATAGTTAAAACCATTTTGTTCTCTAATATGACAATAAAGATCTCATTGAGAGTGGTGTTGATCCAACTCTCAGCAAAAAAGCAAATAACTGAATTCCCTAAAATGTCAAAATGTTTGTCAATAAAAACAATACTTTTTCCCCATCTAATGTATGTGGATATATTACCTGTACAATTGTTGTTGGGTTGACCCTTCCTCTGAACTCAGAAAGTATCTGAAAAACATCAAATTAACCTTTTATTCCCAAGTTTATATTGAATTATACATAAATATACCACTTTGTGTTGTATGGTGTCAATAACGGCTGCTTACACTGAGTGTGTGTTCTCATCATAGGCCAGAATGTGAGACACCTCCCAGCTTCCTGAGGTGAGGTGGCGCAGGTTGACCTCTTGACCTTCAGACTGAGGAGCAGCACAGCAGGTTAACATCACCTCACATGCCCTACATGCTGAGGTTTTCTTTAATTTCACCCAGCTCTTACTTTCAATCTCAAACTCTTGTTCCACTCATTATCTCTGGAGAGATGAAATGAGTCTGCAGAGCCTCCGGTTCATCTAATGTACAACTCTCATTCAGTTATTCCTAATCCACTGGTGTTTCAGTAAATGTAGTAAGAATATCATTTAAAATAGAATCATATGAACAGTATTAATAATGTAAAGGCCTTTGGGAGAGATAAGAGGACTAAAAGAAGAAATACACATTTAACAGTTAAAGCACCTCAATGATTGGATTCATTTCATTAAAAGTTAGTAGTAGTTTTACTTGGTTAGAGATCATGGTGATGTGGTTGAATGTCCCGTGGCCACCTTGTTTTAATGGCAAAGTGATGAAGAATGTTGTACAATCCATGGAAAATACTGGCTCTTCATTCTGGGAAAAAATGATAGAAACTGCCATTAATAGTTGTTGCTTTAGTAGAACAACAAGCTCCTGGAACAGGGAACCAGAAACAGTTGCATGTTAAATGTTTTTATTAGTGGGTTAAATGAAAATGTAAAACACATTTTCATGTCCTGAGTTCAAAAAGCTACAGGCTGCTTTCTAGCTTTTGTAGTTTGCCATGAGAAGACATATCCTGCTGATGTTCAGGTGTATATCAGTATGTAGTGTCTCTACTTTAAAGAGTCCTCTCCTGCTGATGTTCAGGTGTATATCAGTATGTAGTGTCTCTACTTTAAAGAGTCCTCTCCTGCTGATGTTCAGGTGTATATCAGTATGTAGTGTCTCTACTTTAAAGAGTCCTCTCCTGCTGATGTTCAGGTGTATATCAGTATGTAGTGTCTCTACTTTAAAGAGTCCTCTCTTGCTGATGTTCAGGTGTATATCAGTATGTAGTGTCTCTACTTTAAACAGTCCTCTCCTGCTGATGTTCAGGTGTATATCAGTATGTAGTGCCTCTACTTTAAAGAGTCCTCTCCTGCTGATGTTCAGGTGTATATCAGTATGTAGTGTCTCTACTTTAAAGAGTCCTCTCTTGCTGATGTTCAGGTGTATATCAGTATGTAGTGTCTCTACTTTAAAGAGTCCTCTCCTGCTGATGTTCAGGTGTATATCAGTATGTAGTGTCTCTACTTTAAAGAGTCCTCTCCTGCTGATGTTCAGGTGTATATCAGTATGTAGTGTCTCTACTTTAAAGAGTCCTCTCCTGCTGATGTTCAGGTGTATATCAGTATGTAGTGTCTCTACTTTAAAGAGTCCTCTCCTGCTGATGTTCAGGTGTATCTCAGTATGTAGTGTCTCTACTTTAAAGAGTCCTCTCCTGCTGATGTTCAGGTGTATATCAGTATGTAGTGTCTCTACTTTAAAGAGTCCTCTCCTGCTGATGTTCAGGTGTATATCAGTATGTAGTGTCTCTACTTTAAAGAGTCCTCTCCTGCTGATGTTCAGGTGTATATCAGTATCTAGTGTCTCTACTTTAAAGAGTCCTCTCCTGCTGATGTTCAGGTGTATATCAGTATGTAGTGTCTCTACTTTAAAGAGTCCTCTCCTGCTGATGTTCAGGTGTATATCAGTATGTAGTGTCTCTACTTTAAAGAGTCCTCTCCTGCTGATGTTCAGGTGTATATCAGTATGTAGTGTCTCTACTTTAAAGAGTCCTCTCCTGCTGATGTTCAGGTGTATATCAGTATGTAGTGTCTCTACTTTAAAGAGTCCTCTCCTGCTGATGTTCAGGTGTATATCAGTATGTAGTGTCTCTACTTTAAAGAGTCCTCTCCTGCTGATGTTCAGGTGTATATCAGTATGTAGTGTCTCTACTTTAAAGAGTCCTCTCCTGCTGATGTTCAGGTGTATATCAGTATGTAGTGTCTCTACTTTAAAGAGTCCTCTCCTGCTGATGTTCAGGTGTATATCAGTATGTAGTGTCTCTACTTTAAAGAGTCCTCTCCTGCTGATGTTCAGGTGTATATCAGTATGTAGTGTCTCTACTTTAAAGAGTCCTCTCCTGCTGATGTTCAGGTGTATATCAGTATGTAGTGTCTCTACTTTAAAGAGTCCTCTCCTGCTGATGTTCAGGTGTATATCAGTATGTAGTGTCTCTACTTTAAAGAGTCCTCTCCTGCTGATGTTCAGGTGTATATCAGTATGTAGTGTCTCTACTTTAAAGAGTCCTCTCCTGCTGATGTTCAGGTGTATATCAGTATGTAGTGTCTCTACTTTAAAGAGTCCTCTCCTGCTGATGTTCAGGTGTATATCAGTATGTAGTGTCTCTACTTTAAAGAGTCCTCTCCTGCTGATGTTCAGGTGTATATCAGTATGTAGTGTCTCTACTTTAAAGAGTCCTCTCCTGCTGATGTTCAGGTGTATATCAGTATGTAGTGTCTCTACTTTAAAGAGTCCTCTCCTGCTGATGTTCAGGTGTATATCAGTATGTAGTGTCTCTACTTTAAAGAGTCCTCTCCTGCTGATGTTCAGGTGTATATCAGTATGTAGTGTCTCTACTTTAAAGAGTCCTCTCCTGCTGATGTTCAGGTGTATATCAGTATGTAGTGTCTCTACTTTAAAGAGTCCTCTCCTGCTGATGTTCAGGTGTATATCAGTATGTAGTGTCTCTACTTTAAAGAGTCCTCTCCTGCTGATGTTCAGGTGTATATCAGTATGTAGTGTCTCTACTTTAAAGAGTCCTCTCCTGCTGATGTTCAGGTGTATATCAGTATGTAGTGTCTCTACTGGGACATGTCTCCATGCTTTAATGTTCAAAAAGCTCTTTATTTTTCTCATACTGCCTGTGCTGCAGCACCTCTTTTCACCCTATGGTGACACAGGGGATTTTAGCCTTTGCAGACCATTTACATGCACAAATACATATAGAACACACTACAGGAAAGGGAACACCCCTAAAGCAAACTACTGCCTCTTTAATACATCATACTTTGATTAAAAAACCTCCCTGTTTTCTGATCTGCTCTACTCTTAAGTAGCTCTTGATGGATTTCTTTTACTGCAATTCTTTTTTTACTCTTGGCTGTTATTTCAGATTCAGAAAACTTTCCCTTTGAACACTAACATTGTCCTTAACCCAGTGTTTCTCAATATTTTCAAAATGTGGTGTTGTTCTAATTGTTAAAATAAGTTCACTTTCCGCACTTAATTAGAAAACTTACATAACAAAATTATCCGACGGAATGTAAGCTAGCTAACAGTGGCAAAATGTTAGGTTGCATTCACATCAGCAGAGGTCCCACGGCCCAACTGCACCGACGCGCTCCCTCAGCGGTGCACAGCACTCCTAATGGTTGCAGAGCACTGATCAGATCCTTTCAACTTTGAACTTGATTGCCACTGACTCTTCGACGCAAACTAATTCAGCGGCGCAGGCTAGCAGGGGAGGTAACCATAGAAACACAACAAGCTAGCTGCTTTCATTGCAAGAACTTGCGCCCAGCGTCGCCGTGAGCTGAGAGAAAATCACATATAATGTTAACGGAGATTTGTTTACAACCTGATGATATTCAAACATAACTTCTATTATTGGATTCAGACACACATTTAGTACTACCAGTCCGACCAGTGTGTCCCAGTGCATTATGAGAATAGATGCCTTAAACCAGGGGTTCCCAACCCCCGGGCCGCGGAGGTGTTACTGCTGGGCCGTATCGTAATATTTGCAGAATTATAAATATATAAAAATATTTTATCATAATTTTCGCACCAATAGCAGTCATATTATTTCATCCAGTAGCCTAGTTAAACTTCCACCAGAAAACAGTTGAAAATGGCTTTTATGATGTTCCGAGGGATTCGGCGGCTCAGCCTAAGGTCTCAGCCTCTTGTGCGCACAAAAAAGTTACCGGTGCGCCAAGTAGGAAGAGGAGCACACAGGAGACAACCGTTTCATTGCAGACTGTTATGTTTATGTGGGGAAATGGTGGTGCATACATTATTTGAGATATACTTCAAACTCGGACTTCATTTTAAGGACATGTCGGGGGTGTAGAGCTATTTGTTTAAGCACCGGATTGGCAAAACAGGAGAGTAAACCAGTCTGCCTTGATCTATGAATTCATGTCCGGGACTCTCACAGTATCTGCTGCCCGCAGCTGCTTTATAGAAGGAAAGCACACACACACGCACACGCACGCACGCACACACACACACACACACACACACACACACACACACACACACACACACACACACACACACACACACACACACACACACACACACACACACACACACACACACACACACACACACACACACACACACACACACACACACACACACACACACACACACACACACTCCCTGGCGACCGGACATCTCCTTCATAATGCGTCTTCTCCTAGTTTTCCCAGCATTCACTGGATTATCCATAAATCATACAAACAAAACCAAAACGTTGATTTATCTGTTTTCCCGTTTTGGTTAAAAAACTGAATAACGTCGGTTTTTTGGTTTTCCGTTTTTCTGTTTTTCCGAAAAACAAAAAAATTACACCGGTTCTTTTTTTGTTTTAAACGTTGTTAATATGTTTTGGATGCATATTGTTCTAGTATTTGTTCAGGTTGTTACATACAATTAGTCTCTGTTGCTACCTGCTGGTGAGTAAATATTAAAATCAGTTAAAATTGACAAAAAAAATTGTATGTATCTGCCGGTCCTTGGCACAATACAGGTTGGGAACCCCTGCCTTAAACAGTTCATTCATAGACTAATAAAAAGGGTTATCAAAGATAATGGAGCCCCTCTGAACACTCACCTGACGATCGAGCCACTTCTCTGAAGTCATCACGTGTTTCTGAGTTGGGAAGATCAAGTCAGTGCAAAACTTCTATCATTCATTGTGGATGATTAAACAATTATCAACATTCAAATCTCCTGACCTTGGTGCAGTCCCCCGTTGTGACATCACACAGGGACAGTATGGACATGTTCTGAGCCCGGTTCACCCAGCGCACACTCAGCCTGTCCAGCCTCACCCACTTCACCATGGTGACGTAGTACTCACTGGGAAAACACATAGTAATACTAATCAGTGAGCACTATGATGGGAATTTACAGTGATTCAATATCTATGAAGGTTTCCTGGCTATGAAATGTTCTCAGACAGAAGGTTGTCGCCCTGACCATTGTCAGACAATTATCATATGGATGTTAGGGTTATAATTAACATGCTGTGCTTCCCCTTCTGTCTGCCACATTACAGTCCCAAGAAGGTGGGGACCTTCTTGGGACTGTAATGTGGATTCCCTAGCTGAGACCCCCTGCCCCTTTTGTCTCCTCTGTATAAATAATATTGCATTTATGTGTAACAGGGTCAGATTTCTTAAGCACACATTGGTGTAGGGTTATCTGTCCTTTCCAGATGGAAATAATGATGTATTCTGTTAAATTCTTTAATCAATAACACAACTTTGGTTTAAGCTTGTATATTTGTTATTTTCTTACCAGAAGGTGATTAAGTGTGGAATTTCCACCGCAAGCACTAACTAATACAAAATACTACTAAGGTCCGTCCTTCCTGCAGCATCAGACTTTACAATCACCCTGGTAGACCCCCCACACATATAACAACAAATACTATAACACCCCTGTTGCGAAATACTTCTTATCTGCAATATAAATAGTATTCATAAATATTATATATTTAATGGCACCCCTTAGTTAGATCATTCAATTCGTCTTCTGTAATAAATCTGTATTTGTGCAATATTTACTTACTTTACATACTCTCACCTGACTGCTAGCTCACAACTGTTACTGGTACTGGAAGTGTATTTTGTAAATGTTGTAACTTCTACTTGTATCTTTAATATTTATATGCATGCCTCTTATTTAATATCAAGCTTTCTTTGGCTCTTTACTTGCTGTAACAATGTAAATCTCCTCTCTGTGGGACGAATAAAGGTATTCTGATGGTGATTCTGAATAAGCATATTTAAGATGTGTGTAATCATACCTCTTTTCAAAGCTGTCAGGAGGTCTCAGCTCAGTAGTCAGGGAGCTGCCGTCCAGAGTGACCACATACAGTCTGACAGTGGGGTTGATTTGTCCCATCTGCAGGGAGAACAATACAAACGTGCAATTAAATTCAAAGGCCTAATCACAATGGATGCAATACCCATGATGCACTGCATCCACTGTAGCGATAACAATAAGCACTGAGCAACACTTCTCTATTCTACACGCTGTTGTCTATTTTTATATGCAGCAACTGAACAATGGCAGAATGCTGGGCTTCAACAGAGAATATAATGAGAATAAGAAACAGAGAACAAACTGAGCTGTTGTTTAGTGCGCAGGCCCTGGGGCAAGTCAGTTGTTTTCCTTCGCTTAAGCCCCCCTCAAAAATAGAGCTCATTACTCTACATGACAGGGGAAATCTCAGAAAAACAGCATAAACTGTCACACAATGATAGTATCTATTCCAAACCCTACTCGCTTATTTTGATTGGTTATTGTTAGTGTCTTCTTCAATCCTTTCCGTTCTTTTGGAGGTATAATAACTTTTTAGAATAGCTCTATTTGGTTCTGCTGCACCCATTTTCTTTGACAAGTAAACACATCTAAAACCGCTTAACGTGGTGTTAAATGAGAGGAGGAATGGCTATCCTTCCCCTGCATTCTAACACAGTGCCACGACCATCTGCATACATGCAACCATTAAAGACACTGTATGGATGAGCTTTTACATTAATACCTTTCCATGATTACATGTTTAGTAAATGCTAATTTTGGCACTTTTTTTCTACTAATCATAGTTAACAAAACGACTTTGCAACCATAAAGCCACCTCCCAGAGATAATAAACAAATCCTTAAAATGTTGGACGTTTATTTTTTAAATATTCTTGTTGTAACCAAGGTTACAAATCGAAGAATGCAGTATAAACGGTGCAAAATGTCATTAAAATGAATTAGTTCATTTAAAAACATTGCATTATACAGAATGTAAACTATTATGTGAGTTAAATGTCAACTTTTAATCTTAATATGATTTAACTGTACAATTGAAGGTATAAATAAACAATCAAATATAATCAGGGTACTTGCAAGAAATCTTAGTTACATTTATGAATTCTTTGGATAATAGTTTTTTATTTTCTTTAAATCCTTGTTTTCACCAGTAATGGATGCTGTAAAATGTGCTGCAGATATCCATGCGCTCATCGGAATGAAATGTAATACCTTCCCAATTTTCGGTCCATTTCCTTCAGCCACTTTGGGTTGAATTTGAAGTTTTATGGGGCCTCATTTATAAACGGTGCGGACGCTCAAAAGATGGCGTACGCCAGTTTCTACGCAATGTTTGCGATTTATAAAAAACAAACTTGACGGGAAAATGTGCGGTCCTCCACGCAAACTCTAACCCATGCGTACGCATTAAGCACAAAAACGGGAGAGACGAGAAACTGCGACACCGTTGGCAGAAGGAAGAATGGAGAGAAATATGTGGAAATAATACCATAAATAAAATGTTACCTCTCATTTATCAAATATGAAGAATTAAAGCCAATCTTAAAATTATTAAACAAACGCCTGTTTGAGACTCCTCAGTGCACACAAAAACATAACTTGGAGAAATAAATAAATAAATACGGAAATGTTATTGATCAGCCCTCGATTATGTTCTCTTGTTATGAAATGTTTTCTCATAAATGATGCGGTAAGCAGGAGGACAGAATTACGTCTAAACTGACGCCGTTTAGCTTTTCTATAGGTTGTAGATACGAGCATGGTTTTATATACTATCACGTTTAATCATGTTTTATGCTGTTAGCCAAAACTTGATAAGTCGCTCGTAAAACACAGGAGGTATGGAAACTAAGAACACCATGTGGTAAATTGTACAGCTAATATAACACAACACATTAGTTGTATTTCCTTTAACTGGTGGATTATGGATATATAGTTGCTGATCGACAGCTGGAACACAAACCACCAAATACAACAAAATAATTCAGATCCAGTCGTCATGACTCCACTCCGGAGGGATTCCCCGATCATTTCTTACAGTTTCTCATCAAGGGGGTGTCTCCTGTCCCCGGGACAAACACACTGCCTGAGGAAGGTTATGTGTCTTTTTTTTGTCATTAACCTTTTTCGGACCACTTATTTATTTATTTTGGTGACGATCCGACCTCCATGCTGCTACTCTGGTTCAAACTGCATCCACCAAACAATATGATTTATCTCCACCTACCCAAAATAACCTAAATCTGAAACGGTGTGAGATGTCTTTTTTAGCTGTTCTGTCGTCATTTCCTGCGATCTTCTTCCTGCAGTCAGTCAGAATGAATATTAATACGGGGCGTCCTACACCGGAACGCAGTGTTTTATGAATCGGAAAATGTCTGTGTGTATTTATTTGCTTTGTCCTACGTAAGCAACCGTCCCACGCAAATCCTACGCAAGGCTTTATAAATGAGGCCCCAGGACCTTACCAACATATCGACCAACTGTAAGATGGTTAGCATTACATTTATTTAGATACAACTTCAAAACTTGCAAGAATCCTGCAATTACATCGATTTCACAAAATGTGAAATACTTTTTCAACACTAAGAAATGTTCTTCAGTTTTATGTGCCAATGTGCTTTGTCTTGTGAAGCTTCACAGAGTCACTGACACGAGTTGACTGTAAACCTTTTTTTTTTCATGTTATTTTCAAATGTCAAAATTGGTATGGCTTCAAAAAACCCTAATCACTAGTCATACAGCCTAATGTGTCACTGAGAATCTGATGTGACTATTACAGTTATAAGTTATCTCTTTAAGCACAGACAAATTAAGAATACGCCCCAGGATAATACTGTTACTGTTCAGTCACTCTGAGATACACACAGTGACTAAAGCAACAGCATCAGTGTCCTCAGACACTAAGGCGGTGTTTACACGAGAACGAAACGGGTTGTATCTAATACTTTTCTCTCGCGTATAGCCCGTTAGTTCACACGAGGCCGTAACGGAACCGCGGAAACGGACCCCGCAAACGATAACGGGTCCCAAGGTGGACCACACGAGACCGCTCGACCCGCTGGAGACGCTGTAGTACATATGCCGGGCCTGTAAGTGGCGCTGTACTTCCGCCACAAAATACACTAAAAGCAGCGAATAAGACCAATGACGATTATTATTATTATTATTATTATTATTATTATATTATATTATCATTGTTGCTGATGGTTGTGGTAGAGGAGCTGTAAATGTTGGACTAAAATCTGTATCATGGTCAGTAGCGTCTGGAGCACGAACGCAACCCTGTGATCCGCCATTGTTGTTAGTGTTGGCGAAACGCATCAGCAATGACGCGGGGGTGAGCAGGAGAGGTGGGGAGAGGCGGGGCTATGGCGTCATCGTTTTCAGGAAATGATCGTATAGGGGTACACACGGAGCCGCAAGCGTTTCGTCCTCAGACCTACCCACTTTGGGAGCTGTTATCAATGTAATCGGATTCGGGCTCCGAATCTGTGGCTCCGTTTCGGCCTTGTGTGGGCGAACCGTCTTTACGATAGAGAACGTTAGAGGATTCAACTGATATCGTCTCCGTGTGGACGGGGCCTTAGTCCCACAGCTTTATAACACTGACCCCACTCAAGGCTTCAGACCACTGTACAATATTTACACACTGTGGGGAAGATGAAGTGCAGTGCTTCATTCATTAGCAGCCTTCCTGAGTCTAGCTGGCAGCAGAGTGAACCCTGAAATGTTGAGGACACCAAAGTGTTATGTTTATGATATTTATAGTGCGGGTCCACAGCACATAAACTGATACTGCCGGATGCTAACTTTCATACGTTGAGCACAATTGGCATAAGTTGCATTAATTCAGATGAATAGCCTATGGGGACAATAGTTTAAAAAATGACTTGGCCGTTTTGGATAATTTTGGAGTGGTTTTGGCGTTTATTGAGGATGATGAGTCCATTTCAGGGAAAAAAAACCTCTGTGGACAACTTTTCTTCAAATAAATGAGCCAGCTGTCCAATCCAAATGATCAAGAGTCCCCTAAATCTTCAAAATCGTCCCAAAATGTATCGAAAGTGTAGAAATATTGAAATGTTCTGGTTCAAACTGTCAATATTGAGCCAGAACTCCAGAATTGTCCAAATCAGCCAAGTCATTTTTTAACTATTGTCAACATAGGCTATAATGGTAATTAAGGCTAATTATTACACGGCTTACTTGTATACTTGATTCTGATTGGTCAATTCAGAACATGTGACAGGTTGTAAATACAGTAGTACAGACCGCTGTCTAGGACTATAATAACCATTGCTAAGGAGGATGAAGGGAGAGAAAGGAAAAGAAGTTAAAAGACGGAGCAATAGAGAACCGCAGTGACGCGTCCTAAAACCCGGAAGTAAACTCCTTCCGGTTCCTTCGTCAAAAACGCAATGCAATTTCTCCATAGGATTTTGGAAAATAGCTCGAAATAAGGTCTATGGTTGACACAGAGACGGATCACGTTTTGTTCAGCCGGATAATATCCACATGTCTACCCTACTTTTATAATTTTCGAATCATAAATCTAGTCGCCAGAAGCAAAATGCTAACGTTATGCTATAAACGAACTACAGTAGGGTCGCTGCTTCAACGTCACACCAACTTAAGATCCATATTCAAACATACAGATTCTAAATGGTACAAGTTGAAGCGTTTGTTTGAACAGTTTTTCAAGCAGAACAGGGCAAACAAACTTAGCGGGAGTGTTTTACGTGTTCGGTGTAATGACGTAAAACGGCCTGGACAACTTCTGTAGTCCTATTCAGCCACATGTTAACAACCATCGTTTTTCAGACACGTAAACTCTTCAAAAATCACCAGTGGGGTCACTGCTGATGTATTTAATGTCGTAGAACAAAACGTGATCTGTCTCTTCAATTTGTGTCAAACACAGACCTTATTTCGAGCTATTTTCCAAAATCCTATGGAGAAATCCCATTGCTTTTTGTCGAAGGAACCGGACGTGGTAAAAATGCTAACTTACTTCCGGGTTTTAGGACGCGTCACTGTGGTTCTCTATGGACGTCAGATAAATGATCAGAAGAAGACAGGCTGGTCAAGATCCCTCAGCTTGGCGTCGGGCTCCCTGATCACCCTGTCGGTCTTTTTTTCCCCATAATGATCGCCTCGCTGCACATTATCCCTTACTTAACACAATTTATGCAAATGTTGCAAATTGCCCAACATATGAAAGTTAGCAAACGGCAGTTTCTATGTGTTTGGGACCCCTACTATACATTTCTAACATAAAACGTTGGGGTACTCAACATTTCTGGGTTCACAATAGGACTCTAGAGCTGGCGACTAAACTATCTATGGGTCTGAACTGACAAATGATATGTCCTCCACCTTGTGACCCTAATTCCCCGGTTCTTCACAACCAATCTCCCGTCTAACAGGCATTTGACACGCTAAACGCCTGCATCAAAGGATGGGAGGTGTGTTAACGTGCTTCACTAAAGCATATCACATCCTCATCCCTCGCGGTGCCACAGATCCCTACAGCCAACCCTCTTCAAAGAAATCAAGCCTCTGTAACACGAATGACACAGGAGAAGGATTCACTAACCTGCATGCCTACAGCAGAGAGCCTGCAGTAATACTCAGAGATCTGCTTTGATGCTGGTTACAGTAAACTCAGGTCGTAAGGGTTGTTGTACAGTATGAAGTAAGATAAAGCATGTTCTAGTGAGTCAGTGAACAGTCAGCTGAAATACTCCTTGTCCTGCAAACAAGTCAATACCCCAAATCATCAATGTAAAGGTTTTAGCTGGCTTTACTTATGAGATCACTTCCATTCTGGAAATACATTATAGTTTATGGTGTTCAAATCAACAGTGTTTAATGGTGAATGTGTGCCAGGCCACAGGAGTGTTTGCAAGTTGAAATGTTTATAGTGTTATACCCAGAAATCTACTTCTTGAACAGCATACATTATTAACACCCTATTATTTCCCATATGAAATCATTCCGAATCTATCTGACAGTAAAAAGTTTTGCTTCTTCATTAATAATTTGCTGGATGAACAAACCTCCAGAAGCGACGGCGTGTCAGGGCGGATCATTCACCAATATGTGTCTGCCTGGTTGGAACCCAGACATGACAGCGACTAATGTTTGGTCTGAAAACCCCTTCAAATACTCTTCAGTTTTACCTTTGGGTAAGGGTACTCCGCCCCCCTGGGGTAGAGCGACCCTGTGAAGCGGGGCAGCAGCATGTTGGGAACCAGGGAGTCGTTGATGGTGAGGTAGGCCAGTCTGGAGCTGTCTGGAGACCACCAGTGGGCCGCCTGGGAGAGCAACACCTCCTCTGGAGAACACACACCAGAGCATCAGAGCAGGGAGAGGGGGGGCTGCTGAGCAAGTGCAAAATACAATTCCCATTCTGTTCATGCTCCTATTGTTATGATCGTGTGGTGATTTGTCAACATGTAAATGAACAGCTGGTTAAATAATCAACAAATTGACTGACTAGTGTGTCATTCTTGCTCGCTTGACTTAATCCTAGGTAATGCTCAACATGTACCTTAGCTCATAAGAAAATAATAATAATAATAATACAAAAGAATAATAATTGGTAACATAACATAGACTTCAACTAACACATATTAACCATTATATAATACTATAGAATACGTTTCAATGCTAAATAAAAAGAGTTGGGATTAATTAAGGTAATGTAATATTTTCAGTTGGTCGGCTTTAAACTCAAACTCCATTCTTGGGTCTCAAGTTGCCAACAGGAAACTTGAACTGCCATTATAATGTTCAGGTTCTGTTATAGCAATAGGAACACCTATCCCTCCGCTCCCCCCCACCTGTGAGGTTCACAGCAGCAACAATAATGACATATTACGTGTGTTTTGCTCCTGACAGATGACAGTCATAATAAATACAGCCAGCAGAGTCACTGTCAAGTCAATATAAATCCAGTTCCTCCTCGACGTCTGTCATTTCTCATATAAAAGGGTATAGAAGCGTTTCCTGTGCCACAGTAGACAATCTAGAGGAATCTTTATACACATGACATTTCAAAAGAAGGAATGCTTTTTTCTGCAATAGGAATCCTGATGTTCTACACGTGTCTGAACATGATCCACTGTGGTCTCCCTCACCTTCGTAGAGCCAGTCAGTGATGCCGTTGAAGATCACCCCCTCCTGCCCTGAAGACGTGAGCCTCCATGAGCTGCTCTGAACATCCGCCTGGTAGTAGATGTTGTTTTCAAATATGTATAACTGTGGGGAAGAGGGGAAATATTGATAAGTACTAGTATGAGTAAGTATTGTGAAGTCCCTGGTGGTCCTGAGTGAGGATTCAGGTGGGTTGCCAGTGGACTGGTGCTTTGAGAGGTGCTACTTTGCCTCCTGCCAAGGTGCCCTTGAGCCAGTCCCCTACATTACACTATTATATATATATAATAAAAGCTGCCCAATGATTCTTCTCACTGTGTGCACGAAGCTGTGTGTGACGCTTGAAGAGGAAATCATTTGAATCCTCCATCTCCATTTCACTATATGCAACTCATCAATGTACACACAGCATGTGTAAAACGTACATCAGCAAAGGGATGGGAAGTAGTGAAGTACAAATACTTTGTTACTGCACTTAAGTATATTTTTCTGGCATCAGTACTTTACTCCATCATTTATTTTTCTGACGACTTTTTACTTTGACTCCTTACATCTTACGGGGACTGAGAACAGAGACATTTCTAATCACCCATGGCCATATATGAGGGAGATGTTCTAGAAAACAGCTGGTAGTTATGGCTACATGTTACTTAAGTATATTTAAAATGCCCATCCTTCTATACTTTAACTTGATTCAAAAAGTTGAGTCAGTACTTCAACTTTCAGCAGATCATTTTTAAATATGAGTATCTGCGAAAGATGTGTGTACATTTGCCATCTTTGCATTAGCATTATTTCAACTGGGTTCGACACATTTAGTCCAGAACCCATACAGAAATGTTAAACAGAACTAACCAATATTTGCATTTTTTCCAGCTTTTTTGCATCATTGTTGAAGTTACAAAGACTGAACCTGGTGAGCTGTTCACACACAGAGAACATGTTAAATGATAAAATCACATTCACTGAGCGTCTCCTCTCGGACAGAACCGCAGGAGAGCCTGTGAGAAATGGAAGATATTTAGTCATTCAGGATGTGACACGCTGCTTCAGGGCTTCCTTAAGAGCAGCTTTCAGAGGACGGGCACAAATACTGAGGAAACGAGATAAATGTGCTACCAAATGGTTGATTACTCTCCTCGGCTGTGCTGGAGAAAATAATGGACTGATTATTCGGTCCGTAATAATCTGCACGGTGGAGGCATTACTCAAACAGAGAGCTGCAGCCCCCCCACAAGATGTCTCCAGCAGCAGCATGATAAGTACAACTGCTGCTTCTGAATAATGGTTCAGTTTAAAGGGTTTGTGTTTCCTCTCCAGTCAGAAACAGTATTTGATGAGCCTTCACCTCAGAGCAGAGGATTTTATGAATGCCATGAACTCACACTTTATTAGAAAGACATTATAATCAATCCTCACTCTTCTGAATGCAGCAAGGGTTTTCACGTTTTGTTCTACGACATAAAATACATCAGTCAATACCCTACTGGTGAATTTCCAAGGCTTGTATGTGTCTTACAAGGGACTAAATGAGAAAACACTTGTCATGTCTAGCATTAGCCTTTAGCTTAGCGGTCGTGACGTGAAGTCATGCAACGTTATGTAGTTTGTTTATAGCATTTTGTAGCTATTTACTGCTGGCAATTGCATTTAAGCATTGCCTATTTTGAAAGTGGGGATAATTGTGTAGATTATCTTGGTGAAGAAGTTGTGTAAGAATCATAAACTTGCTTCCGGGTCTGCCTACAAACTTACGTCATATTTGCACCACTCAGCAAATAAATCCTGATTTGGCTGTAAGCTACTCACCAGCTGCTGACCCTGAACGCCCCACGAGGCGAACTGCAGGACGGAGTCCGACACCTCCGGGGGGTTCAGCTCCCGCACCTCTCTGTGCAGGGGACATAAAGACGCACAAAGGATTTGACCAGCAGACCAACATGCTTCAAATCTGTTTCTAAATCACAAATATAATCACTGCAAATGTAGATTTTGAACTATTAAATATTGTTTTTTTATTTTTTTAATAATGTGCTGTACAATGTTATTCATCCAAATTCAATGTATTTCATAAATATGCCATTCCTGTTGAAACTTGAATTACATTTTACAAAATGTAATCAGTTATTGGTTTTGGAAGAATGTTTTGAACCTTTTCTCCTCAATTTGCGTTCAAACTAAATACATTGAAGATACTTTTTTTTTAAGATTCTCACTGATCTAGTTGAGACCTTTTACGATATCTTACGGTGGCTGACAGGGGCAAAGCCCAAAACATGTCCATTAGGAGGAACGCTCTGCAATTAAAAAGAATATGCAGATGTAAAAACACTAATGTGCGAAAACACACGCAAATGAAGAAGCATGCATCTTTTTAGTGTCCCCTGGCATTTGTGTATGCACCGCTTTTTATAAATGATGCGCATGTTTTTTCAAGTTGGTGACGATGTTTCTATATTTGCATGTGTTTTGGTAGATCGTCTCTGAAGCTGCAGCACATTTCTCCTAATGGAAGTGTTTTTGGCCGTTGTGCGTGTTAGCACCTGTCGGCCACCGTAATATCATTAAGAGAAAGTCATTTCATTATGCAACTTATAGGTATGCTTAATTCTTGGTTTGCTCACCTTGTGTACAGGTTGTAGATCAGGTACGATGCAAAAAAAGAGTGCTGGTAGACCTTAGTTCAATCAGGAGAAAAACAATTTAGTGTTATCAAGAACAGAAATGGATCCTTTTACCATTCATAATGAACTAAAACCCTTAGAAAAATTGAATATTGAATCAGGACTAATGAAGTTTTGGCCATCAGATTGTTTTTTTCGGCAGTGTGTTCTCATAATAATTCAAAGACACAAAATGCAAAATTTTCTGAGAGAAAGTGTTCTGATGTTTTTGTGCACTATATTTTCTTAACCAGTTTCTAATTCAGTCGGTTCCTGCTTTCCCCATTTCCTCTCCTCACTCAGAGTGCTTTACGCTGTGTTTAATTGGACAGTTAAGGTAATAACACAGCTTGACGTCTTTAGAAGATGTGGGCACAATGCTTTCTGTGCTCAGTTGTTCAAATGACATCAAAGCTAACAGTGCTGTATTTCACTCAGTTGCTCTATGCTTCATTCTGGCTCCTTGAATGTGGCCTTAAAACCTTACATATGCCATAACATGCAGAAACTAAATCTTCATATGACATCTCAGAAAGATATTCTGTTAAATAAAAACGAATACAGGACCATGATGTATCACCTTTACAAAAGAAAAAGATGATCTTAAATTTGTGTTCAGTTTGTACTACCTTTAATGACAGGCATGTGGTGTCGTCACACGCCACAGATGGCATGTTTCATATGGATAATGCAGGAAAATAACGCTACAGAAATGTCATCATTTGGCATATGAGTGGTATATAGAGTGGTACTATAAAGCTATTTCCCTTTTATGAAAAGAACCAAACATGAAATTGCTTGGCATTTTGCCTGTAGGCCTGTGTCCAAAGGTCAACGCACATATCCATATAAATGGAGAGGAGAATGTCAGTGTTCCAGAGATATAAGAACCATGATAGAACCTTTTTTTTGGCTTTTGGTTCAAAAATATGATACCAAAAAGGAACAAAAAACGTTTTTGTGGATGTTATCACACCTGATAACTTTCTATTTCCCATTCACTTTTGAGTGAATACACTTCTTTTTAGTTTTTTTCAAAATGAAGGAACTGGGTGCTAGGCGTTGTGGACATCCATGAGTAGATAAAGGTAATCTTTTGTTTTGTTTTACTTGTTATGGAGCTGTATTGACTTCCGTGCATTTTTACTTGGTTGGGTACTTGATTAAATTAAACCCTAAAACAAAAAATGTAAATTGATAATTTACCACTATGTAGTTGCTTTGCCAAAACTATTACTTAAACCTTGCAGAAATTAAGAGAGGTGGAAACAACTAGATAGCTTTTAAAGTGTATCACTTCACACAATCCCTTAATTACCTGTAAATAACTGCATTCAAGTATGACTTCAAATTGTTTTATGCACTGCCAATTATTAACTCAACCCGGGCGGAGTGTGCAGTCGGCTGTGCGTTGATCATCAGATCAAGGGGACGTTGGGGAACACCAGTTTGAAACCCGCCTCCGCTGCCACTGCGTCAGGCCGTTGTGTCCTTGGGCAAGATACTTCACCCGAATTTGCTCCTGTGGGTATTGTCCACAGTACATGACCGTTACATGTCTGATATGTGTGTAATGTGTACTTGTAAAGCGCTTTGATGACTTCGAGGTGTGAAGATGGGCGGAGTGGCGCAGTGGGCTGTGCGTTGATCATCAGATCAAGGGGGCGTTGGGGAACACCAGTTCGAAACCCGCCGCCACTGCGTCAGGCCGTTGTGTCCTTGGGCAAGACACTTCACCTGAATTTGCTCCTGTGGGTATTGTCCACAGTACATGACCGTCACATGTCTTATATGTGTGTAATGTGTATCTGTAAAGCGCGTTGAGCTCTGGAAAAGCGCTATAATAAATGTAATGAATTGAATTGAATTCAACCATTTCAGATCTTCCTCTAATGTCCCCTGCGTGATGAAATGACCGGGGGATATCCACTCACAGAGCTTTTGTTTTAGGATTCACTGAGATAATGCTCCAATAACCTGAGTGTGTCTGCATGCTAATCAGCTGCAGCGTTAGTTTACAATATTACACTAACCCCACAGCGAGATGATAAGTACCGTAGTGGCTCTCCAAAGCCCTCATCAGGAGATCAATAGTGCAGAGTGGAGGCAGCCTTCACTCCTGATTCTGACTCCCCTCTTCATTACAGAGGAAGAGCCTCCTCCCAGAAGGAAAGACGAAATGGTATTGTTACTTGACTGCTCTTCTTGTGCTCCTTCAAAAAGACGTCAACATCACTCAGCAGATGCCCCTCTTTAGTGACAGCCCGGAGATGGCTCTCTGATAAGGCTGTCAGCGGTGGGTGACACATGAGGGGGGGGGGTGTTTGAGATGTGGAGAGTAACAGACAGCAGTGCTGCTGTGTGCTGGGTTTAGACAAGATAAGATGTACTTTATTGATCCTCAATTGGGAAATGTTTCTTTCAGCAGCATGTTACATCAAAGGCATTGCACATCATTTGAAAAAAGAAAAGGTTGGAAATAAACAAACTATATATAAACATCTCAGAATAGAGAATAATACAGTACTAAAAAGTAAAATATATACAAGATAACCGTGAAAGAAAAAAATCTGTAGATCTGACAAATACACAGAATCAAGGGGCCAAATTAAGTAGGATATGTATTACCAGTACAGTACAGTAAGTGTGCGAGGAATGGCATATGCATGTACAGTGTGATGTTAAATGTACAGTGTTACACAGGACATGTAAATATTTCCTGATGTTAGTTTAGTACAGCTTGGTATATGTGCTGAGTGCCTCATTTACATTTAAATTCCACAACCTGACATTTTATGGTGCTTTTCACACATTTGAGGTGTCCTTCTGCTGTTGACAGCTCCGCTCTGGACCTTTAAAAACAAATACTGAGAATGTGTAATAGAAAAACTTGCGAGACGAGAAAAAAACAAGTTGCTTGAACAAATGTTCTAAATGGCATTTTGTAGTGAATGTAAAGGGTGCAGTGACATTTAGAAGAAAAACAAACACAGACCGCAGAGCAGTGTTTCCTATTTAAAAAAGAAACAGCCCTTTTTGCAAAGACAAAACACACAGCATCATTCTACTGTGATATCAGGGAGAATAAAAGAATAAAAGCACAACTTCTCAACACCTTGCCGAAATATGTTGTAGTGTTAGAGGTAAGTCCTCCGGAAGGCCTTGCCTTAACCACCACACGACAAAATAATATCTTGCCATGTTTGTCTCAATTTCCTTTTAAAAGACAACATTTACTTTTAAGATAAGATAAGATAAGATAGAACTTTATTGATCCCAATTCGGGAAATGTTTGTGATTAAAACATAATTACAAAGATTTGGGATAGCCCACCGCCATAAATATTCAACAGTTTTGGTTTTATAAAAACGAACATGTTGACTTTCTCTGGGAACCAAGATGTCTCCTTACTGATGGTGTCCCCAGCTGTGGAAAACACTAACAGAGGTGGTGGAGCGCTGAGAGGACAGAGACAGTGTCCTTCTTACTACACCAGCAGAGGGCAGTGTTTCTCACTGGCTGTGGTTACCTCTGACAGGACAGCAGTGTATGCTTCTGCAGTGAACCACACCACAACAACAACAACAACAACAACTGTATCCAAAAGCAAACTAGACCAAACAAATTACATTTATGTACAAACCGCTCTCCGGGTTGACATCTTTTGGTGATTGATTGTACTTATATAGTAGTGCTCAAGTACTCATTTGGAAGTTCAAAGTTAGGCTGGCTTAACTAGCAACAGTTATCAAGTATGCTGTACTAGATTTTGGCTACTGAGCAAATGAACTGTGCCCTGTACTACGAAGCAGGATTTGCGGTTAGCGAGGTAACTTCAGGGTTAACTCTGAGTTTCCGGTCCTACGACGCTGGTTCACTTCTTACCAGGGTATCTCCATGGTAACTTATGCTGAACACCTAACCTGTGAACGTGACAATTAATAGAATATCACCTCCCATCTTCAGAGCAATCTGACTATTATAACATTAGCGTTAAGAAAGCTTACTTAAAGTGGACCTATCATGCTATATTTGAATAATATAGTGTAGGACCATACCTATATAAGGCATATTTTACTTTTTTCTTTTCAAAATACCAAACAGATCATGCATTTTAGCCATGCCTCATTTCGCTCAATTTGAAAAATGTTAGCTCTGTTTTTGCAAGGGCTGATTATGTGAGAACAGTACCATCTAGAGGCCTGGCATATGTACTACAGCGTCTCCAGCGCTTTCGAACGGCAATGGCTGTGGCTGTCTCCTCCTGATTGGTGGAGTTGGCCCAATAGCCGTAGCGCCACCGTCCTGACGTCAGGACAGTGTTCAAATCTGGATCAGTTTTGATCAGATCCGTTGCAGCCCCTTTTTTAGAGATTTGGGTATGGAGGAAAATAGAGAGGGTTGTGTTTTCTGACACTTGGTGAGTTCCCTGGAACACCGGGGACACATATTCATGTATAAAAGACGTACAAAAGTGCATTTTGCATGATAGGTCCCCTTTAAATATCTGCCACAACATAAGTAACCGGATCAAAGTAACATTACGTACACTGTGAGTGCAGACTTCGATGTGTCCCATTATCATTCATATCACATCATATCACATCATAATGTATCATATATTTCCTTATCTGAGTCAGCTTCTTGAGCCGTATCTGGCCGTGCAACACTCACAGTGTCACATACTGTATGCAGAAATATTATTTTAAGCAACACATTAAGTTGACGAAACACTTGAGTCAAATGTAATTAAAGTCAGATCCACTGGTGTCTTAGACGGGGCAGTGATATCATAAACCTGTTAATGTACGCATTCAAACACTTTTTTTTGACCAGCTGTTCTGTATTCACCTTGCAGGTGCAGCTATGTGGCTTTTATCCTGGTTTATCTGTTTAAGTCATGGATGTTTAAAGTTTAACTTCTTCATATTTGTGTAACATGATAGTTTACTATTCATTCATGAAGTATGACGCTGTGCTGTCAGTACGCTTGTCCATGTTTGTGATTGGTCAA